CCGGCTGTCGGCCTCCCTCAACCAATTAAGGTCGTCTGGCCCATGCCAATAGCTCCCTCCCTTCTGTAACCCTGAGTCAACTGGCGCAACGGTGTTTGTGTTGGTATTGGGACCTGTCACCGCTCTGCTGGCTGTGGTTGGGGTTTTTCCCTGCGTTCGCAATTCCTGCGCCATGCAAGCGGTTTCTGAACTTTGACCTGTCCCCTCCTCCACTTGGCCCTTCCTCTTTTCGTCAACTGCTAAAATAACCCAGCGCTACCTGTTTAACTTGCTGCGGAGGTTAGCCCAGCATTGGCCTGCCTGTCCCGCCTCGTCCTCACCAATTTTCGCAACTTCACCGGCCTGGACCTGTACCTGCCGCCTGGTGTGGTGGTCTTCTACGGCTCCAACGCCCAGGGAAAGACCACCCTGCTGGAAGCGGTGTACCTGCTGGCCATAGCCCGCTCATTTCGTGCCGAAAACGAGCGGGAAGTGGTTAACTTTGGCGCAGCCACCAGCGGGGAGCAAGCGCTGGTCGGCGGTGTTCTCGATAAGTCAGGGGAGCGGGTATCGGTTTACGTGGGGTATGCCTGTACCCCCACCAATTTACCCTCTGCGGAATCAGTCGGGACAACCAGCGGCCTGGGTTACTCGGTCAGGAAGGAGATACGGGTCAACCGCGTGCGACGCACCGCTGCCGACCTGGTGGGCACGGTGGGCGCCGTTCTCTTCAATGCCGAAGACATAGACCTGGTACAACACGCTCCGGCCGGGCGGCGACGCTACCTGGACATCCTCATCTCCCAGGGCAACCCCCTGTACCTTAAGGCACTGCAACGCTATTCCCAGGTCATCCGCCAGCGCAACCGGTTGCTGCGGTTGCTCAGGGAAGGACGGGCGGCAAACGACGAGCTGGAATTCTGGGATGAACAACTTGTAAAGGAAGGCGCGTGGCTCAGTTCCCAGCGGGCGCAGGCCATCGGGCTCCTGGCCGAACTCTGCGCCGAGCACCACTCGAACCTCAGCAGCCCGGGCGAGAAGCTGGACTTGCAGAGCCTGCCCAGCGTTTCTGGAACAGGAGAGTTGGAAGAGGTTGAGGCACACTTTCGCGGTGCCCTGGCCGCGCAACGGGGGCGGGAACTGGCCACCGGCAGCACTGCCGTGGGACCGCACCGGGACGACTTCAAGCTGCTGGTGGATGGTGTGGACATGGGGATTTTCGCATCGAGGGGGCAGGCCCGCACCCTTGCCCTTACCCTGCGCCTGGCCGAGACTTCCTATTTGTCCCAGGTGCGACAGGACGAGCCCATCGTGCTGCTGGACGACGTGCTGTCGGAAATGGACGAGGAGCGCCGCACCCGGGTACTGGAAAAGGTACGGAGTTACGGGCAGTCGCTGATTACCACAACAGATCTGGAACCGGTGCAACGCTTCTTTGGAAACGAAGCCGCGTACTTCAGAGTTGAAAACGGGACAGTCGCTCCAATGTCCCTGAGTGGATAACGACGACAGCCTGCATTGAGCCATAACTATAAGCGGGATGCCCCGATGCTATAATTTTTATCATAGAAGTGCGTAATGCTTGTCTCATTGCCGGAGTAGGGCAATAGGGAAGCGGGGAACGGGAAGGGGACGAATGAATTTTCTTGAACCCTGGCTAAGTCAGCTGCAAGTCGAAGGTCCACTCCTTGTAGCCCTGACCTCGATTTCCATATTTGTTACGGCGGTAGTGCTGGCCTTGGTTTTCAATAAGGCCGTATACCCCGTAGTCCTGAAGTTCACCAACTTCACTCCCACCAACCTGGATGTGCGCCTGGTACAGGCCTTCCGGCGTCCGTTGACGCTCGGAATCCTGGTAGCAGGGTTCTACTTTTGCCTGGTCTTGCCACTGGAGCTAACCCACACACTGCGGGATTTCATTGACCGGGCCGCCGGCATATTGGGCCTGATCCTGGGGATCTTCACCCTGACCGCGGCGGTTTCCAACCTCTTCCAGTGGTACTCAGAGGAGGTCTCCCCTCACACTGCGACCACCCTGGACGACCGCCTGATACCCATTATGCGCCGGTTTGCCAAGGCGTTGATTTACGGCCTGGGCTCCCTGCTCGTGCTGGACCTGTTGAACGTAAACATCAGCCCTTTGATTGCCGGTCTCGGCCTCGGCGGCCTGGCTGTAGCGCTGGCGCTGCAGCCCACCCTCTCCAACCTCTTTGCCGGTACCTATGTAATGACCGAGGGTGTGATTGCCCAGGGCGATTACATCGAGCTGGATAGCGGGGTAGCCGGCTACGTAATTGACGTGGGGTGGCGGAGCACCCGTCTGCGCACCTGGACCAATAACCTGGTGGTAATACCAAACTCCCGCTTTGCCGAGACTATCATAACCAATTACCAGGGGCCCATACCGGCGGTGAACATCTATCTCACCTGTGGAGTGAGCTATGACAGCAATCTGGCAATGGTGGAGCAGGTCTGCAAGGAGGAAATGAACAGGCTGCTGGATACCGACCCCAGGGCAGTAAAAGGATTACGGCGCCTATTTTGCATACGAGTCCTTTGACGACTCCAACGTTACCTTCTACCTGTTCATTCAAGCCAGGGACAGGATATCCAGCTTTGAGGTGCAGTCGGAACTAATCCGAATGGTGCACGAACGGTTCAGGGAAGAGGGCATCGTTATCAACTATCCCATGCGTACCATCAACTTCGCGGACGGTTCCGAAGCCGGCTCTGGCGGTCAGAGGGAATCCGCCGCCGCCCAGCAGGGTACGGGAACGAGAATCCTTCGCCAGGCGACTGGAGAGCAACAGCCCGAACCGGCCAGGCGTGAAGCGCCGGCGTCCAACGTGGCGCACGGCGACGGGGCTGACGGCCCGGACGCCCCCGGGGCCTGACTTTGGGTGAATATCCCCTGCTCAAAATCCCAAACTATTGCGTCTTCAAACTATTGCCACTCTAATACTATAAGTATTCCGTAATGATTATAAACTCCAGACGCGCAGATTCTCCTCATATATCTTCCCTATTGTTGACTGCCTCGCCTCACACGGCTAAAGTTTGGGCACTTGCACTTCCCACTCCTCTACCCACCCGGTGCCGCCAAAGCATTCAAGAAGGAAGTTTGAATTTGAGCGGGCCATTCGGCAGGAGGCAGCATGAAGAGATTGGGAAACCTCACAATCGCCGTCGTTGTCAGCCTCGTGGGAGTGTCCATTCTGGCCTGTGCCGGGCAAACCGGCCTGCCCGCGGAGCCTGAATCACCCCGTCAAGGGGGCCTTCCGCACTCCGCAGTACGACAACGCCAGCGCCAATTGTCACTCCCGTCCCGCTATCAGCCCCCGCCCGGCCGGCCAACGAGCAATCCACCACGTTACCTGCCGCAGCGCCGGCAAACTCTGCTGTACCAACTGCCGTACCCACACCAACCCCGCTTCCAACGGCGACTCGCCTACCAACATCCACACCAGACCCACCCACCCCGGAGCCACCAACCCCCACCTATGTACCGACCCTTACACCTGCTCCTTCATCGCCACTGCAGGCGCTTGGCCTTGACTTTCCCTGGGCCCAGGGAAGGGAGTTGAATTTGAATGAGTTGGCAGCGCTGGACATCCTGAACCTGATTTCCCAGAAGTACCCGGCCGTGTTTGCTATGGTCCCAAGTGTTTCCTGGCTGGCCGACGGCGTAGACGCCCAGGAAATCAACGCAATGCTGGCTTTGTTCCAAATTGTTGACCGGGTCCTTTCAGGCGATACATCCCTGGCACAAGTCTTTTCAGAAACCCCCTGGCTGCTTGACGATATCACCTCGAGAGAGCTTTCCTACCTCAATCATGTAGCTAGAACCATCAAGGACCCGGCTACCATAATTGCAGACATTCGTCATACGACTTTCGACCAGACGACTTTCGACCAGACACCTTCACAAACACCACCGGAAGCACAACCTCGCCCTGCCCTGGGGCCCCTGGTTCCCGTATCGGAACTAACGTGGACGGGAGACGGCCTCACTGCACTGGAGCAGAAGGCGCTGGCCGACCTCCAGACATTCGAGCGAGACTACCCTGAGATGGCCGAATATGTCCTGAGCTATCAGTGGGTCGCAGATGGCATAACGGAGGACGAACAACTGGCCCTTGGGCACCTGCTGACAATTACCCAGGGCGGTACCTTTGCCAAGCTGCTCGGCACGTCTTTGCCGCCCCATGTTTACCAGGACATTGTGGACCGAATGCCCGGACATTATTACTTGATGGACGGTATCACCCCAACAGAGAGACTGTTTCTCCGGGACATTTCGGAAACTCCGGAACAGTCGACGATGATTGCCAGCTTTATTTCTTCAGAGCCCAGGCAGGACTATGCAGCGGCAACTCCTGCGCCGACCCCGACGCCAACACCCTCGCCGACAGGTAGCTCCCTAAGCTTCCCATGGGCGCAGGACGGGTTGACCGCCATAGAGCAGGAAGCGATAAGTTACCTGCAGGATTTGCAAAGCAGAGACGAGTATGTGGCCGGTGAGGTACTGAAAGCCCCGTAGCTGCCCGACGGAATTGACGAGGGCGAAAGGCGGCTGCTTTGCCATATAGCAACCAGCCCGGAAACCGGAACGGCCCTGGCCATATTCCTGTCGACCGTACCTTCCGAGACCCTGCCGGCTTGCCCATAATTTCGTGGTTAGCACAAGAAGAAGCAGTGGTTCACTTTGCGCTCACCTCCTTCCATCCCTGGGCAGCACCACGAACTTGCCTTCAGCCTTTCACGGCGCCGCCGAAGCACCTTAGCCCTGCTGACGGTTCCATCATCTGCCGGGCAGGGTAGCCGGCCATGGATTACGGATTACGTAAACTGGTTTGGTAATTATCTGACAAATCCGCCGGAAAACCGTCAATACATCCACACGGAAAATTCCGCTTGCCATTAGTGTTGACATTTGTGTTGGCAGGAATTATTGTAGCGAGGACACCATTTGCCTATTGCCTATTAGGACAAACTAGGTAGGAGGAGGATTATGCTTAAGATTGGGCACGAGGGTAGTTCGTCCGGGAAGGAATCTGGGCGAAGCCGAAGTAACCATTCCCGTCCCCGAGGAGTTGGAGACCGTACCCGGTATTCCCATGACCCAGCGCGAAGTTGACTGGTATGCCCGCGAGTATCCGCTGGAAACCATCAACATCACCGAGCGTGCGTCTCGTGACTGGGCCAACTCTCTGCGTGACCAGCATGTTGAAATGCGGGAAATCCGCAAGGAACATGAGAAGCTCAACCGGCCCCTGATTATGGCAAGCCGCATGACTGCCGAACTGGAGCCGACGGCTGAGCCCACCGGCGAGGACATCAGTGAGCTGATCAAGACCAAGGCCCGCGAACTGGGCTTCGTCGAAGTCGGTATCACATCCTTTGACCATCGCTATACCTTCCAGAGCAAGAAGGGCAGCACCACCTATTATCCGCACTTCGTCGCTCTGGCTTACGAGCAGGACTTTGAGCCTACCCAGACTATCCCCAGCGTTGACGCCGAGATCGTGCATTCCAGCACCTACCGGACGGAAGGCGCCGCGGCTCTGGAACTGGGCAACTATGTTCGCTCCCTGGGCTATCACGCGCAGGTGATGGGTTCCGGCGACTCGGCCGGCCCGTACATCCCCTTGCACGTTGCGGCCGGCACCGGCCAGTTGGGCGCCTGCGGCTACCTGCTGACCCCCCACGTCGGGTCTCGCTGCCGCTTGGTCGGCCTGACCACCGACGCCAATGTAACCTATGACGAGCCAGTAGACTACGGCATCCACGCGTTCTGCCAGGTTTGTCAGGTCTGCGTGAACCGCTGCCCCGGCCGCGCCCTGATGCGCGACAAGATCTGGTGGCGGGGAATTGAGAAGAACAAGCTCTACTTCAAGCGCTGCCGCCCCGTCATGGCCCGCTACCTGGGCTGCGGCATCTGCATGAAGGTATGCCCCATCCAGAAGTATGGTCTGCAGAACACCATGGAGCACTATGCCGAGACCGGTCAGGTACTGGGCAAGGGCACCCATGACCTCGAAGGCTACTCCCTGGAAGGCAAGGGCTACTTCGGACCCGGTGAAATGCCCGTCTTCGACGCCGCTTTCTTTGCCATGCCCCACGGCGCCTCAGACGAATATGCGTTTGACCAGTTCAAGGAACAGGCCAAGGCCGCCGGCGGCGACGTCTCCGATGAGATGCTCCAGCAGCTCAAGGACGACATCGTACGCTCCCTGTTCCAGGCCACCGACAACGTCGGTATGATGGACGAGGACGCAGACTACATTTAGCCCGCATCCCGGTCCACATTGGACCAGACCAATCGAGGCCAGCAGCGTTGCATTGCTGCTGGCCTCAACTTTTGGCCGCCAGCCAGGTCTCCGGACCGGCGCCTCAGGATTCCTTCAGATTATACCGGGAACGTTGCAGACCATCCCCGAAAACTTACTACAGAGACTTTCGGAAAATGGACTTTCCTCAGTGACCTGGATATTTTCTGGATGCTGAAACTGGCAGGTGTAGTGACAGTTCTTGTCGCTTACCGGGTTTTCAGGCTGGAATGGAACCGAACCATTAACCAAATCGCCAGTTTCCGAAGCCTGTCTCCACAACGGGCAGTTAGTGTCCGACGGGCGGGCCAGATTATCGGTCGCGTCACCCTTGCCGCGGTAGTTGCGCTGATAGTCAGCATTGAATTCCAGGGACTCCTGGTTATTCTGGGTGCCGTCTCCGCCGCAATCGGCATTGCGTTTTTTGCCCAATGGTCCATCCTCAGCAACGTCACCACCAGCATCATAATGTTCTGGCGGTTTCCAATCCACGTTGGAGAACGCATAGCGATATTAGGGGTCGAGGGTTCAGCAGGAGTAGTGCGGGAAATTACTCCATTTTTCATTATCCTGCTCGACGAACATGGAAATGTCATTACCGTCCCCAACAACCAGACTCTGCAGCAGAATTTCGTTATCTACGCCGGAGATCCTAAGAGTGAAGGTCGTGGCCGGGAATTGTTCGACTGACACTGATTTGCGGAGCGGGGGGTGTTCTAACCTCAATTGTTCCAGTCCTTGCCAGCCGCAGCAGCACCGGCGAGAACTCAAGCGTCAGCACACTCTTCAGAATGCAGGGTGGAGGCTTTACTCCCAACTTCGATCGCATCTTATGTCGGGGCAGAATACAGCCGGAGGGCACCACGGGTTTTGGCAATGGCACTTTGAAGGCCCCTTAATGCCGATCTCCCCCTTTTGGCTTTCCTGCCGTATCCTGCCTAAACCTACCCAGTATTCAATACCTCGCCATAATCCTGTATTCTATTGAAAGTAAACTGTCCATCAAGGGAGGCTATGGATGGCAAATTCGGAAAGCGTAACAATTCAGGAAGCATCCTACCGACTTAACCTTTCCCAGGCTGAAATCCGCCGCTACATTCGGGAAGGCCGGTTGCAGGCAACCCGAGGCGGGCCGAGAGACCGGACCTGGATGGTAGAGCTGCCCGAAGAGGGCTGGCTGGACGACGACAAGGCCCGCTACAGCGAAATGGCCCAGCAAATGCCCCTCTGGTGGTGGCCCACCGAGGCCAGAACGGGTCTAGCTCACTACATCGTGGACGTCGGCATTGAGAAACGGTTCCCGTTTTCTTGTGCGGTCTGGAGAGTGAGAACATTTGGACGGTTACAGACCTGACCGAGGACAAGTGTTGCCCGGCGTGCCTGCAAAAGGCCCGGGCTGAGGGAATACCCCTGGAACTTGAGGACTGACCAAGCCACCAGAAAAGTAGAAGATGACAAACCGGAGGAGAAATGGCGCCACCTGACGTTAAGGCATTGATATTTGACGTGTTCGGGACTGTGGTTGACTGGCGGGGCAGCATAATCGAGCAATGCGCCGCTTTCGGCAAGGCTCACGGCATTGAGCGAGAGTGGGGAACCTTTGCCGACACCTGGCGAGGCAAGTACCGCCCATTTATGGACAAAGTCCGCACGGGAGAGCTGCCCTGGACCAACCTGGACGCCTTGCACCGAATGGCCCTGGAAGAGGTGCTGTCCGAGTTCGAAATTGAAGGGCTGAGCGAAGAAGAGAAACAGAAGGTCAACTTTCTTCTGGCACAATCTTCGGCCCTGGGCAGATTCGGTGCCTGGCCTCTACCGGCTGAAGCAAGGGTACATCATCGCCACCATGTCCAACGGCAATATTGCCCTGATGACCAACATGGCCAAGAACGGAGGCCTGCCCTGGGACGCAATAATGGGGGCCGAGCTGGCTCACCACTACAAGCCAGATCCGGAAAGCTACCTCACCACCGTGGAACTACTTGGCCTCCGCCCGGAGCAGGTGATGATGACCGCCGCCCACCAGGGCGATCTGCTATCCGCCCAGAAAGTCGGTCTGAAGTGTGGCTTCGTGCCCCGTCCCATGGAACACGGCCCCGACGTGACACCTGACCCCACTCCAGACCCGTCCTTCGACGTGGTTGCCACGGACTTCACCGACTTGGCCCGGCAGATGGGGGTTTAACGGTTACGAATCAGGCGTTGCGAAATATGGGTCGTATTTCGATCCTATTTTCCTTCGGGTTATGATTCCGCCGCCATCGTCCTTGATCCGGTATCTTGACTATTGATTTTGGAGCAGAGTTATGCCCCGTATCGCAGTTCGGCTGGAGAACGATCCCCAACTGGCGACCGACGATTTTGTGGAACTGGCTTCCCTGGCCCAAAGTCGCAATTATGAAATGGTGTGGGTGCCAGAGGGCGGTGGCAGGGACTCCCTCACCCAGTTGACCTTCCTGGCCGCTCGTACCGACACCATCAAGCTGGCCACCGGCATATTGCCCATCTACTACCGGACCCCTATGCTGACAGCCATGTCGGCGGCGGGGCTGGGCACCCTCTCCCAGGGCAGGTTCATTCTCGGCCTCGGTGTGGGACACCGACCCTCGGTGGAAGGAACTCACGGAATACCTTTCCGCCGTCCTCTGACCCGTATGAGAGAGACCATCACCCTGGTGCGTCGCCTGCTGGATGGTGAAAGGGTCTCCCACGCCGGAAAGGTATTCAACGTGGGCAGCGCCACTCTAGCGGCTGCCGCCCCGGAGCAGCGAGTGCCCATTTACGTGGCCGCCCCTGGGGCCGCAGATGCTGGAGTTGACCGGCGAACTGGCCGATGGCGTGCTGCTTAACTGGACGGCGTCCAGTTACCTGGAACGAGCCATTCACCATCTGAACCAGGGCGCCGAAAAGGCAGGGCGCGATCCGGCTGAGATTGACGTTGCCGGGTATGTTAGAGTCGCTGTGTCCGACAACCTGGACGAAGCACGGGCCAGCTTGCAGGGGCAAATAGCCCGTTACGCCAGCAATCCCTTCTACCACAATTTCTTCCGGGGTATGGGTTTCGGCGAAGAAATGGCGGCCGCGGAAGAAGCGATGCAGCGGGGAGACATTGACGAAGCTGCCCGGTCCATCAGCCAGGAAATGCAGGACCAGGTGGCTGTAGTGGGGAACCCTGAAGAGTGTCGCCTAGAAATAGAAAAGCGTCGCAGCCTCGGGCTGAATCTACCGGTGGTCGCACCCTTCACCGTGGACGAACCCCGGGAGTCATACCTGCGGGTAATTGAAGCCTTCGAGGGGTAGGACGCAGACAATAATTAGGATATCGGTTCAGGAAATGGGCCAGCCCGTTGGTACGACTGGGCTGGCCCTGAGTTCAGCTTTCGAAATGCTCTGCTGGAGTCACTTCTCCAATCGTTCCAGGCCACAAACCTCAGCTACCAACTCGTAGGAACGTACCCTGTCCGCGAAGTCGTGGCAGATGGTGACAACACTCAGGTCATCAGTTTCATAAATCTCCCCAATCCGCTCCAGCTTCTCCTTCACTTGTTCCGGGTTACCGTCGGCGCAGACCTGGCTGTATTGCCGGATGAAGGCCAGTTCGTTCATCTGGTACTGGTAATTCAGCGCCTCATCTATCGAGGGTATTCCCTTGGCCCGGTTGGTCACTGAGTACAGCCGTCCCAGGTTACGACCAGCGGCGATCCTCAAGGCCGCTTCCTCGGTTTCCGCACACAGCACCTGCACCCCAATATTAACCTTGGGTTCTTCGAGGAACCGGGAAGGCTCGAATTGCTTGCGGTAGCCTTCGACTATGGACGGCCCTTCATCTACGCCCAGGCCAAAGAAGTGGGCATAGGCAAAGGGCAGGCCCAGCCGGGCAGCCATGTAGGCGCTCTCGTAGCGGGAGCCCAATAACCATACGTCGGGAGCCGTCTGGGGACTGTCCGGCCCGGCCTGGACCTGGGCAAAGGGGTGTTCCGGCTCAAGCCCGCCATGCAAGTAGCCAACCACATCTACCACCTGCCTGGGGTAGTGCTGTATGTCCTTGGGGTTGCCGGGGTAGGACAAGGCGGCGGACGTCAGTTGGTCGCTGCCCGGGGCGCGCCCAACACCCAGGTCGATTCGGCCCGGATAAAGGGAGTCCAGCATCCGGAAGTTTTCCGCCACTTTCAGAGCACTGTAGTGCGATAGCATGACCCCACCGCTGCCGACCCGGATCGTATTGGTGTGGGCGGCCACCTGGCCCACCAGAACCTCGGGGCTGGTGCCGGCAAAGTTGCGAATATTGTGGTGCTCGGCGAGCCAGTAGCGGTAGTAGCCAAGTTTCTCCACCGCTACCGCCAGGGCAATTGTCTCTCGCAGGGCGTCTCCGGCGGTCCCGCCGGCCCTGACCGGCGACTGGTCCACGACACTCAGGGTAAGTTTTCCGGACAAGGGTAACTCCTGCAGGCTGGATGTGCCGAATTATAGCACTGGCGACCAGGATTCGAGATTGCGAATTTAAAGTCCCCGTTCCGGGCGAGGTAATGTGTTTAACAAACTTTAAACAAACCTTTAAACATTTGCTTTCACAAAAGAGATTGTTAACGAGATACCCCTGAATTATCCTTTGCAGGGTTCGCTTCACTGCAACAGCTATGACCTCACGCAACCCATTGTCGAGGGTTATGGAAGGCAGGCCAAAGGGTCGGCTCTTCTCAGTGACATGGCCCTGGAAGGGAACCCCACTGCCCAGGAGACTTCGGCAGCTCGTCGGCACCCTGGTATAGGAGTAGATCGCCTTGGCCAGACCGGACCCTAGACCAGGTAACTCCTTTGCGGACGCATTTGCCGCCTCAACCGGCAACGCCAGGTGGAAGAAGTATCTTCCGGAACGAATAATCAAGGCAGTCCTGTTTTTCTGCAGCATTGTCTCCATTTTTACTACCGTCGGCATAGTGTCCGTTCTCATCTTTGAGGCGGCTCTTTTCTTTCAGGAAGTGTCCATCTTCGAGTTCCTGACCAGTACCAAGTGGACTCCTCTCTTCGCTTCAAAGCATTTCGGTATTCTGCCCCTGGTAACCGGCACGATGCTGACCTCCGTAGGGGCGATGTTCGTTGCACTGCCCCTGGGGCTGCTTAGCGCCATTTACCTGAGCGAGTACGCGCCCCCATCACTCCGACAGGTGGTCAAGCCCATACTGGAAATTCTTGCCGGAATTCCCACCGTGGTTTACGGCTACTTCGCCCTGCTCTTCGTAACCCCCATTCTGAGGAGCATTTCTGACGACATCTCGGTGTTCAATGGTCTGAGCGCCTCCATCGTAATGGGAATAATGATTCTGCCCATGGTGTCCAGCCTTAGCGAGGACGCCATGCGATCCGTTCCCCGGTCCCTCAGGGAGGGCGCCTATGCCCTGGGCAGCACCAAACTAGAGGTAATCACCAGGGTGGTAATTCCGGCAGCGTTGTCCGGTATCGTTGCCGCCTTTATCCTGGCCATGTCCCGGGCCATCGGCGAAACAATGATCGTGACGGTGGCCGCTGGCCAGAACCCTAACTTCACCCTCAACCCCTTTGTCCCCATCGAAACGATGACCGCATACATCGTGCAGGTCAGCCTGGGGGATACACCGACCGGTACCCTGGAATTCAAGACGATCTTCGCAGTGGGCTTGAGCCTGTTTGTAATAACTCTGGGAATGAACTTAATTAGCCAGTTCATTGTCCGACGGTTCCGGGAGGTCTACGAGTAATGGCCGACATCGTCCCTGAACAATTCGATAGACGGATGGACCGAAGGAGATTGGAGGAGAAAATTTTTCACGGCCTCTGTCTTCTCGCCATCCTCATCGGCATGGCAATGCTGGCCGTGTTGCTGATAAACATCCTTTCCGACGGCATTCAACGGGTTAACTGGTCCTTCCTCACCAGCTTCCCATCCCGTCACCCCGAAGAGGCGGGCATTAAGGCGGCTCTGTTCGGCAGCATCTTCGTCGTTGGTCTGGCCGGCATTCTGGCCTTCACCTTTGGAGTCGGAGCAGCCATCTACCTGGAAGAGTATGCCGCCCATAACTGGTTTGCCCGAATAATCCAGGTCAATATCGCCAACCTGGCTGGTGTACCCTCGATCGTCTACGGCATCCTGGGCCTGGAAATCTTCGTGCGGTTCCTGGAAATGGGCAAGAGCGTACTGGCCGGCAGCCTTACCCTGGCCCTGCTGGTGCTGCCCATCGTAATTATTGCATCGGAGGAAGCGATTCGGGCTGTCCCGCCCTCGATCCGGGAAGGGGGATACGCCCTGGGAGCCACCCGTTGGCAAGCCATCTGGCGGCTGGTGCTTCCCCAGGCATTCCCGGGCATACTCACTGGCGTAATCCTCGCCGTAAGCCGGGCGGTCGGTGAGACGGCGCCATTAATCGTCATGGGAGCCTTGACCTTTGTACCCTTCACCCCGGACGGTCCCATGAGCCGCTTCACGGTGCTGCCAATTCAGATATTCAACTGGGTTTCCCGGCCGCAGGAGGGTTTTCACGAAGCCGCCGCCGCGGGAATCATCGTGCTGCTCGTTGTATTGCTATCCATGAACGCACTGGCCGTTCTGCTCCGCAACCGGTTCCAAAAACGCCTGGAGGGTTAATCCGTGGAAGATAACCTGGCCATCCTCAAGACAACCGACCTTAATGTTTTCTACGGTCCCGCCTGCGTGGTCAGCGGCGTTGATATGAACGTGGAAACCTACAGGATCACGTCATAATCGGGCCTTCCGGCTCCGGCAAGAGCACCTTGTTACGCTGCTTTAACCGGATGAACGACCTGATTCCCAGCTTCCATATGACGGGTGAAGTCCTCTTTGCCGGGCAGGACCTGTACGCTCCCCGCGTGGACCCGACCGAAATACGTTACCAGATTGGCATGGTGTTCCAGCGGCCCAATCCCTTTCCCAAGTCTATTTTTGACAATGTTGCTTTCGGCCCCAAGGTTAACGGGTTCAGGGGCAATTTGGCGGAGTTGGTGGAGCAATCCATCCGTCGGGCGGCATTATGGGACGAGGTAAAGGACCGGCTTAAGGAGAGCGCCCTTTCCCTGTCCGGCGGTCAGCAGCAGCGTCTCTGCATCGCCCGGGCCCTGGCCGTGCAGCCACAGATCATATTAATGGACGAGCCTTGCTCTGCCCTCGACCCCATTTCAACACTGGCCATTGAAGAGCTGATGCGGGAACTTTCCAAGGAATACACCATAGTGATCGTGACCCACAACATGCAGCAGGCGGCCAGGGTCTCCGACTTCACTGCCTTCCTGAATCCCCGAGAAGACAAGATCAGCGAACTGATTGAGTTTGGCGAGACCCGGCAAATCTTCACCAACCCCAGGGACGAAAGAACTGAAGCGTACATCACGGGGCGCTTCGGTTAACCGACTGGGCCTGACAACAACGAGCAAGGGGAAAGGCAATGCTAATAGCAAACTTCGATCGGGACCTGGCCTCTCTCCAGGAAGAGTTGGTCAGGATGGACCAAATGGTAGATGGGGCTATCTCAACGGCTATGGAGGCATTGAGCAACCGGGATGCCGCCGCGCAACGAGTCATAGCCTGGGACGAAGACATCGACCAGTTGCGGGCACATCTGGAAAAAACCTGTATCGACCTGCTGGCAACCCGGCAGCCCAACGCCATTGACCTGCGCACTATATTGGCCTCGCTTCACATATCCGCCGAACTTGAACGGACCGGGGACTACGCAAAGGGCATCGCCCGTATCAGCATTGCCATGGGCGTTGAGCCATCCCTCAATCCGCTGATCGATCTCCCCCTGATGGCAAGCAAGGCCACCGATATGATGAACCGCAGCCTGGGAGCCCTGGTGGAACGGGACGAAGCCACCGCCCGCCAGGTCTGTGAAGACGACGACGAGGTCGACGATCTCTACGATCAGGCGTATCAAAACTTCTAGCCTACATGCTGCAAGACCCCCGCTCCATACGACGCGCCACCTTCCTCCTGTGGATCGCCCACGAACTGGAACGCATTGCCGACCGTGCCACCAATATTTCAGAACGGGTCATATTCCTGGTTACCGGCAATCCAATGGACACTCAGGCAGGCCAGTTCCAGGCATCTGTGGTATAGTTTTACCGAATTCCACCCTGCGGAAGCAACAACAAGATACCCCTTCCTCCTTTTTCGTTTGCCCTTTTCCAGTTTTCCAAATCGCTTGTCTGAGGAGATTCTATAACTTATGCCCGAAGTAACCAGTCATAACCCCGGAACCTTCTGTTGGGTTGACCTTTCCACCACCGATGGAGCGGCTTCAAAGCATTTCTATTCCCAAATTCTGGGCTGGACCGCAATTGACAACCCGGCCGGCAACGGAATGGTCTATTCCATGATGCAGAAGGACGGGGAAAATGTATGCGGCCTCTACGAGATGACCCGGGATATGCAGGGTGTTCCACCCCACTGGAGCAGCTACATTTCAGTAACCGACGTGGATGCGGAGGTTGAGCGGATAACTGCCGCCGGCGGCATGGTAATAATGCCACCGGGGGACGTTTTCGAAGCCGGGCGCATGGCATTCGTTGCCGATCCCACCGGCGCCGCCTTTGGCCTGTGGCAGGCAAGGGAACACATCGGCTCTGAGCTTATCTACGAACCGGGATCCCTGGGCTGGAACGAGCTTTATACGACTGACCCCAATGAGGCCGCCGGCTTTTATGCCGATGTATTTGGCTGGACCCGCGACACAAACCCGGTGACTGAGGAAGCCCGGGAATACCACGAATTCAAGGCCGGAGACAAGCCGGTGGGCGGAATGATGCAAATCCAGCCCGAGTGGGGCGAGGTGCCGCCCAACTGGTCGGTCTATTTCTGCGTTGACGACGTGTCAGCCAGCCTTCAAAAGGCACAGGAATTGGGCGCCGAAGTAATCGTGCCGGTTACGAATGTGGAAAATGTGAGTTTCGCCTTCCTGAAGGACCCTCAGGATATCTACTTTGGCATTGTACAGGTGACGGGTTAGTACCTGAACTCCCTGGTATGAATCTGATGCGGGCGGCCCGTTTACAGGAGGCCGCCCTTCAGTTTTCTTGCAGTCAAGGACCCGGCTCGGAGTTTCTGATGTTCAAATAGCCTGGTCAGGGTCGAACGTCCGACAGTGAACCTACCTGATTGCCCGGAAGAACTCCCCCATATCATCCACCAGCAAGTCCGGTTCCTCCAGCGCGGCAAAGTGGCCGCCTCGGGGCATCTCCGTCCACCGCTGCACGTTGTAGGAGCGCTCGGCCCACTCGCGGGGTGGGTGACTCAGGTCCACCGGGAATAGCGCGACCGCGCAGGGAACGGATATCCGGTCACCGGCCCCAAGGGCCCAGGGGTTGTGCTGAGACTCGTAATAGAGGCGCACTGACGAACCAATGGAATTAGTGGCCCAGTACAAGGTGATGTTGGTCAGCAATTCGTCCCTGGTAAATCGCGATTCCACGTCGCCGCCGCAGTCGCTCCAGGTGCGGAACTTTTCCACGATCCACGCTGCCAGACCGGTGGGAGAATCGTTCAGCCCGTAGGAAAGGGTCTGGGGCTTGGTGCCCTGGATGTGAGAGTAACCTCCCTCAGCCTCCCGCCACTGCGCCCGTTCCTCAATTAGCGCCTGTTCCCGCTCCGACAGTGGCCGTGTCCCGTCGCCCAGGTGGGGAGACATAGTGGCGGCAGACACGGCGGTTACGTGGATGCCTGCCACTTGCTGGGGGTAGGCATAGCCCAGGCGCGCCGTAACACTGGCTCCCCAATCGCCGCCCTGGGCCACGAAACGCTGGTAACCCAGGTTCTCGGTCATCAGCTTTGCCCACAGATCAGCAATGCGGGCCGTGTTCATGCCCGGCTCCTGGGCAGCGTCCGAAAAACCGTACCCAGGCATGGAGGGGACGACAACATCGAAGGAGTCGGCAGGATCGCCGCCATAGGCCGCCGGGTCGGTAAGACGTGGAATGACCTTGAGCATCTCGAAGAAGGTGCTGGGCCAGCCGTGGGTGATCACCAGTGGCAGTGGATTGGGCCCCTTGCCCTTGGCCTGTATGAAGTGGATCCCCAGCCCGTCAACGTTGGTACGGAAGTGATCGAAGGAGTTAAGGAATTCTTCCTGCTTCCGCCAGTCAAACGTGGTGCGCCAGTACTCCACCAGTTCCTTAACGTAGGCCAGGTTGGAACCGTAGCCCCAGTCCGAGCCGGGGATTTCGTCGGGCCAGCGGGTGCGGGCCAACCGTTCCCGCAAGTCGTCCAGTACGGAGTCGGGGATATGTACCTGAAAGGGGGTAATGTCCATTAGCCACCGCCGCTGAAAAGTATAAGGGGGAGCAAGGACATTATAGGGTAAATGGGGACGGCTGGAAGGGGGTTCCGGAGTTGAAAGGGTGGACGCCCGAGCCTTACTGCCAGTAATCGGCCAGGGCCAGAACCATGTTGCCCATATGCGGATGGTCAGGCTCTACATCCACGGCAATCCCTGCTTCCCGCAGTCGGCGGCTACACACCGGCCCCACCGATGCCACGACCACGCCAGGAATGCCATTATTGTTTTCGCCCGTAGAATCGGCCCCAAGGGATGCCCGCAACACCGTCTCCTTGTCGGCCTTGGCGGCGATGGTCAACAGGTTGCCCACCTGAGGCTGGCTGGTGAAAGCGATGGCATCAATGTTGCGTTGGGTAATGTCGTCAATCATGGTCAGCACCGGCCCCTCGTCTTCCGGCAGACCCCAAGTGTAGAGGGTGACCTCCCGCACCTGCGCTCCCTTCTCCTGAAGATGAGCGACCAACGGGCGGTTGGGACCACCGTAGTGCTGGAGGGCCACTACTTTGTCCGACAAATCCCAGTCCTCCAGCGACTTGACCAGGTCGGCAGTGGTGTAGGGTTCCGGGGGCATTACATCTATGTGTATTTTGTGACGGCGCAAGACCCGGGCCGGCTTGGGGCTGCGGGCGATGACGGTCAGTTGGTCCAATGCCTGGATGAACTCCTCTTCACGGCCCATGGATGCAGCCGTGGAGACCAGCGCCTGAGTACCCACGCCGGTAAGCAGGGTGATGGCGTCGATGCTGCCAGCACAGGTATCAAGGACAAGCTGCTGCACCACTGGGCTGTCCCTGAGGTACACCTCCTGCAGCACCGGAGCGGGGTATGCGACACCGCCGTGGCGTTCGATGAGCCCAGCCATCTCGGAGGTCATGCGGGCTTCAACGAAAGCTATAGTCTTACCGTTAAGAGTGGTCAATGTGCTTGTTCCTTACAAGTTAATAAAAGCTATTGTATTCGGTACGACGCAAGGAAGCCAGTTCCCTTGCTATTCCGAACCATTGGAACAATAAATGCCTCCGCCATTTCTGCCGAGTCAGGCCAGACGCAAACGCCCTTCTCCCCCAAAAAGTCGCGATCTCCAGGGGGTCGAAAGGCGCCCCACAGCGGCCGAATTGTTCTAGAAAACTCTTTCCGTTGGCAACATATGCCTGGTGAAAGTCTTCATCGGATTTCGTGAAATAAATGATGGCCTCTATTAGACACACCACCCAATTGACGGGTATTCCAATAATGATAAAGGTTAGGACAAGGTGGATGACACCTGCCCCGGCATATCCCAAGTAGAACTTATGAATTCCCAGTCCTCCCAGAAAAAGCGCCAACAAACCTGCGGTTACCTTGCTCTTGCTGCCAACAGCTGCCATAACTCCCTCCTCTTGTGTTGCTTCGTCTATCCCTAACCTCTTGAATTGGCCGTCACCATCTCCTGGAACCGCTCGTCGCTTATAACCAGGTACTTGATAAAGTTGATCAGGCCCCTGATTCCCAGAATGAGGGAGCCAAGCACTATCACACCCGCTGTTCCAGCCAACGCAATCAAAATCCAACTTCCTGAAGGCCAGCCAACGTGATTACGGCTCCAATGACGACGGTCAGGACAAGAATAACCACGCGAATTATCCCAGCCGTATTGTTGCCCACATAGAAGTCGTCCGCACCGAACGCGCTAAGGAAAAACGCCAGGAGCGCGGCTATAATCTTAGACTTTTGGTTTGCCATCACACCCTCCTTCTCTTGCTGCCGAGATTCGGGGCAGTGGGACTGAACGCCTCGCGCTTACCGAGGTCAACTGGGCCTGCAACGGACTAAGCTTGCTCTTGAAGGAGTCTTTCGCGCAGGTTACTCGTGGATGTTCCGGGGATTGGCTGGATGAGTTGTGAGAATTATGTGAAGAGAAGGCAGACCCTGTCAATCCTTTCCAGCACTAATTTAATGCAAGAGAGTACATTACGAGGTATATTTCCAGTTACTTGTACGAAAACAAGAGTTTCTGCTCACTTGTTATCTCTTTTCCTTCTTCTTCTAAAACGATGAATGTGAGCGACGAGACCGGAGCCTTGCAACGGTATCCCTGGCTATGGAATTGGCCGACTCCATCTCCTGGGCCCGCTCGTCGCTGACGACCAGTTACTTAATGAAGTTGATATGCCGCCAAATGCCTAATACGAGACAGCTCAGCAGAGTCGCGCCACCCGGCCACTGCCAAAAGTGCCAATTGTTGCTCGTCTCGGGTAGTCGAATGAGAGGATGGGTGCTGCAACTGTTGTCTCAACAGTTGCCACAAGAATGAAAATGCGGACGATTCCAACCGTGGTGTTGCCCACGTAGAAATCGTCCGCACCGAAGGTACTCAGAAACAATGCCAATAGAACGACAACGACTTTAGAGTCTTGCCTGCCCTTAGCGTCCTCTTTCTCTCAATGAGGAGATTCGGGGCAGGGGCAGCTTACGGTTCTATACGGCGCACTCTCCCTCGCCCCGTTCCAGCACGTAGTTATTGGTCCGTTCCCAGTCCACGTAAAGGTCGCCGCCAACTTCTTTGCTGGCTGCCGATTCCTGTATCGCGGCGGCAACGGTCGTCAGTTCCTCAACGCCCACCCGATCCAGGAAGTGGTTAAAGCTCTCGCCATCCTCCCGGTTGTCCTTGTAGTAGGTGGCAATTTCGCGGACCATGCCGGGAACCAGCTTCGCGGGCACCTTTACCTTGGGTATGCGTGTTCCGATGCGGGAGTCTTCCACCTGGTTATCGCCATAGTTGCCGCCCAGGAACATTTCGTAGGCGGGTATCTGGCTTCCGTCGGGGCCCTTGATGGCGGCGCCGTGGAAGCCGATGTTGGCGATGTGGTGCAGACCGCAACCGTTGGGGCAGCCGCTCATCTTGATGCGGATTTTCTTGACGCCGTCATCCTGGAGCAGTCCGTTCCAGGTCCCAATCTCCTCTCGGATGGCCTTGGCCAGCCCCATGGAGGAGGTTATCCCCAGCTTGCAGCTGTCGGTACCCGGGCAGGACACTACGTTGGAGATGGTGTGGGCACCGGGCTCGTTCAATTCAATTGCCCCGAGGGCTTCCCACACCTGGTGCAGGTAGCCGTTCGGAACCCAGCGGAGAGCCAAGTTCTGTTCCTGGGTGGCATTGACCCTGCCGCCCGTGTACTTGCGCACGAGGTCTGCCAACCCGCGGAACTGTTCAGGGCTGAGATCGCCGAGAACGGGCTTAACGTAAACTATGTTGTAGCCGGCCTGCTTCTGAACAACAACGTTAGTTTCCAGCCAGTAGTTGTACTCGCCGCTGCCGTTGCCAGTCCCGTTTGGGGAGACAGTGGGCAGTTCCGGAGGATTCTCGCTGTAGATGTCTTCGTTGGCGATGTAGTCTATGGGGTCGATGGGGCCGATTTCCGCCAGTTCCGCTTCCACCATGCCCTTGAATTCGTCCAGGCCGATGCGGTCAATCAAGACCTTCAACCGGGCCATCATACGGTTCTTGCGCAGGGACACGGCCTTGTCGAAAACCGTCCAGACGGCCAAGGCCAGGCGCAGGTAGTCCTCTTCCGGCAGGAACTCGTAGAGAGGCTTGGCCAGGCGAGGCATTATTGAAGTGCCGCCGCCCACGAAGACCTTGAAGCCCCGCTTTTCCACGCCGTCCTCTACCCTTATCTGTGACACATAAGTCAGGTCCTGGATGGCAGCGGCTACCATGTCGCGGCTGTCCACGCCGGTGAACGCAGTCTTGAACTTCCGGGGAAAGGCCTGGGTGATGGGGTGGCGAACGCCGAACCGGACGTAGCCGGTGAGGTAAGGCGTTGGGTCAAAACTCTCGTCGGCGTCCACGCCGGCGGTGGGGGCGCCCACCACGTTGCGGACCGTGTTGCCGCAGGCCTCGCGGCTGGTCAGGCCCACCGTACCCAGCAGCCGGAGTACCTCGGGGCACTCGGGCAGGGGAATGTGATGGAATTGGACGTTCTCGCGGGTGGTTATGTGCCCCTTGCCCAGTGGCGCATATCTCTCTGCAATGTCGCCGAGGGCATCGAGGGCATCGGCACTGAGGATTCCACCCGGGATTTTTACCCGGATCATCTGTACGTCGACCTGTCGCTGGCCGTAAACTCCCTGGCGGAGGCGGAAGGGAGTGAACTGAGCGTTATCCTGCTCTCCAGCCTGGAACGAAGCCGATTCCGCCTCGAACCGCTGGACCTCGCTTTCCATAAAAGGAACTATGCCCGGCGCGGTCGAGGCCAACTCAAGGCTCTCCTGGTAGATTTCCTCCTGGGACTGCTGTGTAGTCGTGGTCACTTCGGCCTCCTGCGTTTTCATGCGCATTAAGATGACTTCTTACTGGATTTCCTTTATTGGTTGGTCGCTATCTGGGCAAAAAATAAACCCACCAAACGGCGTTAGGCTTGGTGGGCGCTGGGATGTCTGTCGGACGTAGAGACTTACCCGCTCCCTATGTGGGCGGACAAGTACAGGAACAAATGCAGGTGCAGGTATTGTTGACTAACATTGTCAGGAATTCTAATCGCCCCGGAGGGGCTTGTCAACAGGTTTTGATATTAATTTGTGTTTAACATTCCGAGAAGTAATGGAAGGAAAGAAACTGGACCCTTTCCTGTGCACCAATTATGGATTGCAACTGTCTCCGGATGGCAGGCTGCACATGGAATAACCAGTTGCTAACTCCCACCCTGACCCACTCCTCCCAAATCAGATATAATGCACCCCAAAGAGGCACTCCAAGCCTGAAACTAGGGAGGGGCTGAATGATTACCAAGTTTGGCAGCCTGTTTGCCGGGCACGTGGATTTCGAAGATATCGGGTTGGACGCCACGCCGCTAAATGACCGCTGGCTTTCCGACGAGCACCTGGCGACCGTATTCGACAAGGCAGAAGCCATTGCCGAGGTTATGGACCGCCATGATTACGAGACTTTCTGGATGGCCGAGCACCATTTCCAGCGGGAAGGCTACGAGTGTATCCCCAACCTGCTGTTGTTTGCCGTCCACCTGGCCCACCTTACCAAAAAGCTGAAAATTGGATGCGGCTTCAATATAGCCCCCATGTGGAATCCCCTGCGCCTGGCCGAGGACTATGCCACTGCCGATATCCTGACCGACGGCCGCGTGGTATTTGGTGTGGGCCGTGGCTATCACAGCCGTGAAGTAGAGACCTTCGATGCGCCGATTATAGACCAGGATGCCAACCGGGAGCTCTTCGAGGAACAGGTTGAGGTCATGTTCAAGTCCTTCAACGAACGCTCCTTCTCCCACCACGGCAAGCACTACAACATCCCGCCGGACGTGCCCTACCGGGGCTATGACCTGAAAGAAATTACCCTTGTTCCCCGACCCAAGTACCTGCCGGTGGAATGCTACCAGCCCCTGGTCAGCGCCAGCCAGCGGGCCATGGACTTCATGGTCAAACACGGCATTAAGGGCATGATTGGCGGCGGGGCAGCCGCTGGCGGCGCCACCATGGAAGTAATCAAGGCCTGGCGAGAAACCCTGGCCAAGGCCGGCAAGGAGACGGAACTGGGAGAAGACCTGATTGTCGGGTTCTCCATTCACTTGGCAGATACCGAGGAGAAAGCCATCAACGAGGCCAGAACCTACTTCGAAGAGAATATGAAGATGTTCGGCCCCCTAGGCTTTGTACGGGGCCTGACTGAAGAACAGATTGTTGCGCTGGGCGATCCGTCCCGCGCCCGTCAAGCCGGACTTCCCGCCATTGAAGACGGCGTCCGCGCCGGTTCCTGGATGTGCGGCCCCCCGGAACTGGTGGCCGAAAAGATCAACGCTATCCAGGAACTCTACCCAGGCCTGACCCAGATAAACGTAGGCTCGGTGGTGGGTACCCCGGAGAAGGTAGTCCTGGAACAGTTGGAATGGTTCGGCAAAGAGGTAATGCCCCAGTTCAAGGCCCAGTCCAACATGGCCGTGCCGGCCGATTAGTAATCAAGGGCTCGCTGTGTTCAGAACTTTGACATTCTCCATTCTGGCGAGCCCAACGAACTGTCAACCTGGAACAAATGCTTGAGCACTTGGGAATAAGGTGGGGCTACGTCTTCTTGCGGGGAGCCGTTTATCTATCGGAGGAAGACATGCGGGAGTTGATGACAATTGCCGTCGAAATGTACCTGCAGGACGAGGATGCGAGGAAGATAGTCCGAACCGAGTACGAGGGCATGATTCGTACGGACCGCAAGTACGAGGTTCTGGGACACTTCGGCGGCCAGCGTTTCGATATCGAACTGGAAACCGTATCCGGACGGGACAGCGCATCCTTCCTGGTCAACGAGCAGACCCGCAGCCCCGGCCCCGCCTTTTCGTTGAATTAGAAAAACGGAGAAGGTCTGCTGTCCGTCCTGCTCTCCCTCAATTAACCGGGTTTGCCAAGCTCACCCGGGCCCTGTCAGGCGCGCCACGCCCCGCATCGTGGGGCCGCCGTTGCTCATCCGCTTTGCCTGCATGGGCTGTCCCTTGCCACAGTTGGGTATGGGATTAACCTGCAAATCGCTCCCCACCGCATCTATGGACTGGAAATAATTGCGGGAGTCCGCCGTTATTCCCCCGTCTCGATAAAGGCGTCCCAGTTGACCGTTCTCGATTTCGTACACCTTCACCGCGGTGATGCGAAAGTTCTCCCGCGACTCGGCTATGGATGGAGTCCGGTGTCCAACCACGTAGTAACCTGAATCAATTTCGGAAATGATGTCCCTGGGATTCCGGTTGCCGGGGGCGAAAACGGTGTTGGTCATGCGAATCAACGGGGCCAGGCGGGCCTCAGTAGAACGAGCTGAACCATTGGGAGTGACGCCCAATATCGCCGCCGTCTGCCGGTTGTTGAGGAATTCTTCCAGCACCCCGTCCCGGATAATGTAGGCACGGCGGGCGGGCGTCCCTTCGTGATCGTACCTGAATGAACCGTAGCCCTCCATCAAGGGATCGGAGAAGGCAGTAACCAGCGGTGAGGCGATTTGCCGCCCAAGTTGGTTCTCCCGAAGGTTCTTCAAGAACCAGGACCGTCCGGCGTAGGCCGTCTCGTACTTCAACGCCCGGTCCAGTTCCGAGGGATGCCCCACAACTTCATGGACCAGCAAAGTATTGAAGGAAGGATCAGTTACCACCGGCACTTCGCGGTCAGGCGGACGCAGCGGCGGGGCCGCAGCAACGTCAGCGGAGTCCCTTCCCAGCCGGCGGCAGAAGGCAACATAGTCGGGCAGGTCTATGGGCCCGTTACGATAACCCCTGGTTAGTATCTCCCAGCCCCGCTGGTGCCCCGTGGAATCGTAGAGTTCGTAGTTGCCGTACTGACTGCCGGCAATGGCCATAATGAAGCCTTCGGTCTGCGCGAAGGACTGGTCAATGTTTGCGCCTTCAGAGCTAATAAAAAGTTCCCGTTGCAGGAATGTGCTGGTGGAGGCGGCGGTAAACAGTATTTCGCTGCTGCGGCTTTGAGCAGCGCTGCACCCCGACACCGCCATCTGTACGGCATCGGTCAAGGACACAGAGCGAGGGTCGATTTCATAAGTGGCCGGTATGGAGTCCTCGGCCACCGGAATTCGGGCCAAATATGTGTTGTCGAGGCTGTCTCCTATACCTGGGTAGAACCGCCTCGTCTGGGCCTTCTTCAATGCGTTGGACAGGGCACGCGAGTAAGCCTCTTTTATTCCTTCCCAGACCACCGCTTCAATATTTTCCCGGTCTGCCGCGCCCAGAACCTGCCCAAAGAAACCTGCGGCAGACATCCTGCGCTGCACAATCACTCTAACCCCAAAATCGAAGGCTACATCATCGCCGCTGGCCTTCTCCGCTCCGTTTTCAGCTGAGGCCCACTTCTCCTCACGTACCTGGATACGAAGGTCGCAATAGCGGAAGTCGCGCAGTTCTTTAGTTCGCTCTACAACCAGCGAACGCAGGTTGGTGCGGAAACTGTCCAGGGTTTCTACGGAGATGGCGTGGGGCATACCATTACCCGGGGTGCGAAATTAGGGCATTTGAAGTGGCCCAAAGACCAGTTGAACAGGAATCGCTATTGGTCCCGAGCTGGCGAATCAATTAGCACAACGAAATGATGCTCAGGATTTCGGGCGGAATGGCCAGGCGCTATTCCTCGGTTGGCTGGTGAGTAAAGTAGTCTTTAAGGGCTGAGAATTGACCGGAAAGATGCGCTTGCCCCTGCTCTAACCCTTGAATGCGCTCGTCTTGCGCATCAAACCGGCGGTTCATTTCTTCAAACATTTGGTCGAATCGCCGGTTCGTCTATCCGTACATCTGGTCGAACCGGCGGTCCATCTCGGTTTTTAATTGTTCAATCTGGAGGGCAGTCCGCTTCTCGGACTGGTTAACCAACGTCACATTCAGCGCTCCTACTGCGATTATCGCGGTCAGGAGCCCAATGCCCACCCCCAGGATCCCAATCAGTTCTGGCGACACTTTGCCCTCGCCAAAGACTCTTCAGCCTTAATCCTTACCCCTGCTCCACCTGCCAGGCACGCGCGACGGCTTGGGCGACGGCCGGTACCACCACGGGATCTAGAGACCAGGGGATTATGTATTCGGGGGTGGGTTCGGCTACCAGGCCAGCCAGGGCTTCCGCAGCCGCCAGCTTCATCCTGGTAGTTATTCTGGTGGCGCGGGCATCCAGGGCGCCGCGGAATACCCCCGGGAAGGCGAGGCTGTTATTGATCTGGTTGGGGAAGTCGCTGCGACCGGTGCCAACAACCTTGGCACCAGCCTCGGATGCCGCGTCGGGCCAAATTTCCGGAGTGGGGTTGGCTGCGGCCAGAACTATGGCGCCGTCCGCCATGGAGCGGACCATATCCTGGCTGACGGTATCACCCACCGAAAGGCCAATAAACACGTCGGCGCCTCTCAGGGCATCGGCCAGGCTACCCTCAATGTTGTCTGGGTTCGTAATTTCCAGCATCTCTGTCTTGATGGGGGTGAGGTCGGTCCGGCCCCGATGGATGATTCCCTGACTGTCCACCAATACGATATTCCTGGCGCCGTAGTCCACCAGCAACTTGGTCGAGGCAACGCCACCGGCACCGGCGCCTGAAAAAACGAACTTGGCGTTCTCGATGGATTTTCCGACCACGCTCAGCGCGTTGATGATGGACGCCAGGACTACTATCGACGTTCCGTGCTGGTCGTCGTGGAACACGGGAATACCCAGATCCTGAAGGCTTTCCTCGATTTCAAAGCAGCGCGGGGCGGCAATGTCCTCCAGATTGATACCGCCGAAGCAGGGAGCCAGGTTACGCACCGTCTGTATTATGGACGCGTTGTCCTGAGTGCCTAAGCAAATGGGGAAAGCATCTATGTCAGCCAAACCCTTGAAAAGGATCGACTTGCCCTCCATCACCGGCAATGCCGCCTCCGCGCCGATGTTTCCCAAGCCCAGAACGGCGGAGCCATCGGTTACGACTGCTACAGAGTTGCCCCGGTTGGTCAGCGCATAGCTTTCAGACTTGTCCTTTTCTATAGCCAGGCAAACCGCGGCCACACCAGGAGTATAGGCGATGGAGAGATCCTCCATAGTTTCCACTTTCATCTTGGATGCGATGCTTATCTTGCCCCGACTCGCCCGATGGCGAATGATTGCTTCTCTTCCGTAATCCATCATATTAATAAATGCCTCTTAAGGTTACTCAACCGTGCTGTGGACGACGGTTTGGTAGGTTTATGGGTTTACTTCGCGGTGATGTGCAATCTGCCAATTATAAACCCTGTGGCAAGTTTGTGGGGATGAAAACTGGGGGCAATCACGTTAGAGAGTTGGTGCTTTTGCCCGCGGGTTTGGCTGACGCCAGGGCGCGGGGAAAATAATTTCCCCGCCACGTTCGCCCATTTCCACTCATTGACCTTCTGCCAACGAAAAGCCGGAGAAGATGCGATGCAAGCGACATTACATAGGCCATGGTAGAAGGCGGTAACAGGCACTGTCCAGTGGCGGTTTTCATCGGACTCGACGCACGTTATTCCGCGATGTAATTGGAAGAACGCTTACTACACGAACATGCAAGAATGTTCACCAATGACAATCCAGTTGCAATAGCGCCAGTTCTTTCAAGGAACCTCTGTATAAGTTAACGACATTGCAGCGAAAGCCGAAATCCCTTAAGGGAGCCCAGGGGCATCAGCCTATGACATGAGTACAGCCCCCCATCCTAACCGTCCCCCGACGAAAGGGGAAGGCACTTTTGAAATAAGTTCCTAACATTGAGATGCCCGCACATAGGTCAATTGTGCCATGCCGTTGTCGTGCGACCGGACTGCGACAAGGTTGAGGCTTATTTGCGGTGTGGGTGGCGGAAACAGGGGGATGCCTTCGCCCAGAATAACCGGCAGAATGAAAATCTCCATACGGTCAATAAGATCAAGCTTCAGAAACTCTTGCACCAACAGGCCGCCACCGATTAACCAGATGTTCTTGTCGGAAGAAGCCTTTAGCCGGTTTACAAGACCTGGAATATCGGCGCCATCAACGAACTGCACGTTTTCATCCTGCTCGCCCGCCCGAGTTCGGGAAAAGACAAAGCCCTCCGTGCCCGGGTAAGGGTAGTCCACGTCGAAAGACAGGAGTTGCTCGTAGGTTGCCCGACCCATCATCACCACACCCACCCCGGCGATAAACTCGCCATAGCCATAATCTTCGGCCGGCCCTTCTCCCTGCTCGGGTATGTCATCAAGCCAGTCCACCGCGCCATCGGGGCGGGCAATGTAGCCGTCAAGGCTGGAAGCTACGTAGAGGATTACTTCAGGCATTCTATGCTCCTTTTGGACGGCCGTTCAGCTTCCGAGACTTCTATCTCTTTCAAGTTCTTCGGTATTGCCGAGCTACCCGGATATTCCACCAGGTAATTAACGGCGTAATGACAACGGTGGGAAGAACCCACGCAATCCAGGTCGGGTTAGTATCCACGTTCACCACCAGGACTGCCGTAACCGTGGCGATGGTCCCTGCCAGCATGTTGGTCAAATGCCTGGCTATGCGCTGACCCCCGGTAGCGCGGCGCAGACGGTGGTACAGGCCATCGGCCAACCCCAGGGCAATGGCAATGAAGGAGAACAGGGTCATCGTAACCCATTGGGAATCGCCGGCGCCGACCAGCACACCAGCGTAGACCCCCATGCCGACCCCGGTGACCACCATGATTGCGGTGGCGGCCCAGTCAGCGGGTTGGGGCTGGCCCCGCCGGTTACGCGCAAACCGCCAGCCGGCGAACACCAGATAGAAACTGAAGAAGGCAATAAGCAACAGAAAAATGTCGGCGCCCAGGAGGGCCAGTGGTACCGCAGTAAGGAACACCACCGTCATGCCTATTGCGTAGACCCTTCCGGCACGAATATGCTTGCGTTGCCCTTTGGCGGTCACCACCGCAACAACTGCGGTCAGCAAGGCCAGGGAACCGGCGCCTATGTGGATGGTGAGGAGGACGGCGCTCAGCAATTGTTTCTCCCAAGCAACCGGGTATCGAAAGCTAACCGGGCAAGACTTATTCAGGCAGGGGCTTACGGAACCGGATTATGCGACGCACTTACCTGACATCCGAATGAGGGTCTTCCCTTTGCCGAAAACGCTTGATGACCACCGTATCGCAAATCAGGTCGTGGATGCCCCGCCGGTCCTTCCTGAATGCCACTACCAGGAAAATAAAGCCCAGGGTCAAGTTGGCGGACAGGGCGGTCAGCACGTGGCGGGACAGGGCTCGGACAAATCCCACCCGCGAACCATCGGTCCTTACAACGTACAGGCCAAAGGCCCGTTTACCCACGGTGGTGGCCCAATAAGTGATCAGGGCGGTATCGTAGGCCATCGTCAGAAACAGCACCAGCAACTGCAAGCGTTCGTACCCTTGCGGCGGTTCAAGGATCTGGTCAAAGTTCTCCGGCACGGGCTGTCCGAGGATCAGCCACAGAAACACCAGGGGCATCACGACGACCAGCATGTCGATAATGTAAGCCACCGCCCGCAACAAGAAACTGCCGGGGGTGCCATACTCAAAAGCCCGTAATTGGCTGGTTTCGTTTCGTTCCGCCGCGGAAAAGTGCAGGGGGGCGCCGCAAGTAAAGCAAAATGCCGAATCGGCGTCGTTGGACCGGTGGCAGCGCGGGCAAACGAAGTCTCGCGGCTGTGGAGCAACGGGCGGTTCAGGCGCCCGCACAGGTTCAGGGGTTGGCTCTGGCGTGGCCTCCGGCAAGGGAGCGACGGATTCGGCGTCCAAGTACACCAGGCTTCGACCACAGTTGCCGCAAAACCGGTTGCCTGGATGATGGGGATGGTGGCAGGTTGGGCACTGAAGTTGGAGCCGTGTCCCGCAATTATGGCAGGATACGGCTCCTTCGGTTACCTCTGCTCCGCAATTGTGGCAGTTCATAGGCTACGGCAGGTAACGGTATATTAAGGTTCGGTGAGACACCCCTACCGTGTCACCGCGCCCTCGGCGGCGGAAGACACCAGCTTGGCATACTTGGCCAAGACTCCGGTGGTGTACTTGGGCGGCAAGGGCTGCCAGGCAGCACGCCGGTCCGCGAATTCCTCCTCGGTCAGGCGGGCATTCAGTTGCCGGTTGGGAATGTCCAGGATAACAATGTCCCCTTCCTTGAGCAAACCAATGGGGCCGCCCACCGCCGCTTCCGGAGCAACGTGGCCCACCATGGGGCCGTGGGAGGCGCCGGAGAAACGTCCGTCGGTCATCAGGGCCACCGAGTCGCCCAGTCCCTGGCCGATAAGCGCGCCGGTTACGGCGAGCATTTCCCGCATGCCGGGGCCACCCTTGGGCCCTTCGTACCGGATTACCACGATATCGCCGGGGTTAATCTCGCCTCGCTGAATGGCCTGGAAAGCGGGTTCCTCCTGCTCAAACACCCGGGCCGGACCCTCGTAGACCCTTTCCTGGTGGCCAGCCACCTTGATGACCGCGCCGTCGGGAGCCAGGTTGCCGCGCAATATGGCGAGGCCGCCGGTGGGGCTGCGAGGATTGTCCGGCCGGTAGATGACCGGCTGGTCGTCAACGACGGGCATGCCCGCCACGTTTTCGGCCAGGGTCTTGCCGGTAACGGTCATGGTATCGCCGTGGAGCAGTCCCGCCTCGAGCATTCGCTTGGCCACCAGGGAAACTCCGCCGTAGCGGTGCAGGTCGGCCATTACGTACCGGCCGCCAGGGCGCATATCGGAGATGTAGGGCGTGCTGCGACTGATGCGGTCGAAGTCGTCGAGACTCAGTTCAACCTCGGCCTCGCGGGCGATAGCCATCAGGTGCAAAACGGCGTTGGTGGATCCGCCCATGGCCAGCACCACAGTTATGGCGTTCTCGAAGGCATGGCGGGTCATGATGTCCCTGGGGCGGACATCCTCTTCCAGCAGGCGGAGCAGGGTGCTACCTGCCTTGCGGGCCTCGTCAACCTTGCGTGGGTCAATGGCCGGAATGGAGGCGTCGCCGGGCAGGGACATGCCCATGATTTCGATAGCGGTAGACATGGTGTTGGCAGTGAACAGGCCGGCGCAGGAACCCTCGCCGGGGCAGGCCACGCACTCCAGGGCGGTAAGTTCATCGCGGGTGATACTGCCCTTGGCATAGGCGCCCACCGCCTCGAAAACGTCCTGGATGTTTACGTCGTTACCGAGATACTGGCCTGGCATGATGGTGCCGCCGTAGATGAAGATGGACGGCACGTTGAGGCGGGCGATGGCCATCATGCAGCCGGGCATGTTCTTGTCGCAACCGGCCACCGTGACCAAACCGTCCATCCGCTCCCCAAAAGTAACCACCTCGATGGAGTCGGCAATCACTTCGCGGCTGACCAGGGAGGCCTTCATGCCCTCGGTGCCCATGGAAATGCCGTCGCTGACGGTGATAGTGCCAAATTCAAAGGGGGTGCCGTCGGCCTGCCGGATGCCCTCCTTGGCCGCCTCGGCGAACCGTGACAGGTGGACGTTACATGGGGTAACGTCGCTGGCCAGGTTGGCAATGGCAACAAAGGGTTTGTCGAGATCTTCATGGGTCAGGCCCATAGCCAGCAGCATGGCCCGGGCCGGAGCCCGCTCGGCGCCCTGGGTCACGTCGTTGCTGCGGTGCTTCATCCGCGCGACGGTAGCTGCGTCGCGGGTCGTGGTCTGGGTGGCGTCGGTAACGGTAGTCACAGGGGGCCTCCTGATACTGGTTCAGCTAGTGGAAATTGGCAACATTATAGTGTGCCAGCCACAGGGGGTAAAGCCGGGGTGATTGATTGTCATTTGTGCCAGTCGTGTGTACCATACACACTATCGAAAGCAGAGAAGTCATACGTAGGCTGGAAAGAGCCGGATGGAGGCGTCGCAACGTCTCGGCAGTCATTACCACTTTGTTCACCTCGACAAACCTGGAGATGTAACAGTTCCACATCCTCGTAGGGACATTCCTATTGGCACACTCCGAAGCATATTCAGGCAAGCCGAGTGGGATTGGAGGAGAAGATAATGCGCTATCCTATCGTGATTCACAAGGATGAAGAAAGCAGCTACGGTGTAACGGTACCCGACCTCCCGGGGTGCTTCTCCGCTGGAGAGACCCTGGATGAAGCCTTGGAATTGGCTCAAGACGCCATACTTGGTCATGTCGAAACCCTGCTTATGGGCGGACAGACCATTCCGGAGCAGCGCTCATTGGAACTGCACCAGCAGAACCTCGATTATGCCGGCGGAATGTGGGCGTTGGTAGATGTAGACCTTTCAAAGGTGACTGCCAAGACCGTACGAGTAAACATCACCATGCCGTCTCCCATCCTGTCCCTGACCGACAAAGTGGCCAAACAGGAAGGAGAGTCACGCTCCGGGCTATTGGCAAAGGCTGTGCTGTACTACGTGGAAAGCAAGGTGAGGGCGTGATCACTAAACTTGAAAGAAGGGCATAGGTCCAGTGGAGTTAGGACCCGACACAAACCATTAAGTACAACCCCGCAAACTTACAAAATAAGAGGGTATCCGGTAACCAATTGCCTTGATTCATCTAAAAGGCTGGGAGGAGAGTATGCGAGAACGCGCTGCATTTGCGGTAAACGCAATCGTTGGGATGCTGATGGCCGCAATTTTGGCTTGCGGCACATCACCAACCACCCCATCCTCAGAGGACAACGCGCCCCAGTCTCCCAGAGAAGCGGCAGCGGCCTCCACGAGCCAGCCAGTCGAACTCCATACACCGGTATCGCTGCAGCCACCTGCCCCTTCTGTTACTTCCGGCCGCGGCGGGTAAAGCATGCCTGACACGCAACCATTGGCCGCGCCGTCAGCCGAAAATACTCCCGTCCCAACGCCGACATTTCCTCCCACAGTGACAGCAGCACCCACAGCAACCGCCGCTCCGATCTAACCTCTGTCTCCACAGCTACGCCCTTGCCGACGGCCACGCCGACTCCAACGCCCGCACCTGAACCGGCGATGACACCGGAGACTACTGCCACCCCATGCCAACTTCAACACTTGCCCCAACGGCAACGCCGGCGCCTGCTGCAACACCCGCGGCAAACCCCTGTCACGGCACCCACAGCCCCTCTGCCCGATGGAGCGGAATCCATTCTTGAGGCGGTTGCTCCCATGGACTCAAGCCTGCTGTGGGTGCTGTACTTTGATAATGACACGAAAGTCTGGTCTGTTTACGATCCCAGCGGGACCTTTGACCACAAGCCCATTCTTCCCTACCTGGACAGTGACCATCAATTTGGGGAACTGGCCTACATGGTGCCGGGAGCATCTTGCCTGGTGGCCATCAGCCAGGAAGTGACGTTCCGGGGAGTGACATTGCAAGACGGGATCTTCGATATCATCTGGCCGGACCCGTAGGTCCAGTTTGAGCCAAACCAGGTTTGGCGAGGTACCCCGGCTCGCAGTACACCTCGTCTGGTCCTGGAGCAGATGTCTAATCGCAGTGCCGCTTTTCTGGCCAGGTGATACTGAATTTCTTGAGACTCAACCGGGGCCACCGACCGGCACAGCGCGGCTTCTTTATTTTAGGCCTCTTTATTGAAAATGAAGCCCTGGAACTTCGAAGGGGACTTAAGCTAACTTTCTAACTCTTCCTGAGCCACCCCTTCCGCCTCGTCCCCCGTATCAACTTCCATAGGAACCAAGTCGCTTTCTTCCGCCCCGGGCATCGTGTTCCATTCCTTGACCAGGTAAATAATCACGTCCTTGCCCAGCGCCACCAGGGGCGGGCCCAGAATTACGCCCCAGAGGCCGAAGTACTGGCTGCCGACGGTGATTACCAGGATAACGGCGATGGGATGCATGTTCAGGGTGTCTCCCTGAATGCGCGGAACCAGCAGGGTGTTTTCCAGCATCTGGACAATCAGGTAAAGCAGAATTACGTACAGTACCTTCTCCGGCGCCGTGGCCAGGGTTACCAATACCCCGGCGGCCCCCCCAATCCAGGGGCCGATGATCGGAACCAGTTCGGTCAAGCCAGCCACGATGCCCAAAATCACGGCGAAGGGGACGTCCAGCAGCAGCAAGCCTACCGCCACTATCACACCGACAATTACTCCCAGGGTAAGCTGGCCCCGGATATACCCGCCCAGCGTCCGGTCTGCTATGTCCATGATATCGCGCAGGATGGGGCGAACCGCTGAGGGAAATGGTGCGTGCAGGGACTCGCGAATGGGGCCCGAGTCCTTCATCAAATAGAAGACCAGCACCGGCGCGGTGGCCAGGCCCAGGATAAAAGAGAAAGAACCGGTGACAACACCCAGGGTCTGCTTCACGACATTCCACGCGGCAGACCCAATTATGCCGCCGGCGCCAGCCAGAGCTTTCTCGGCCTGGTCGCGCAAGTCAGCAGGTACCAGGTCGGCGTATTGGGCTACCAAACCTTCAATCGTCAGGCGCGCACTGTTCAGGAATGCGGGGAAGTCATCAATAAATCGCTGGCCCTGCTCAATGGTGGGAGGTACGACAGCTATTATCAGGCCAGCGAATACGCCTATTCCGACCAGGAAGATGATGCCCACAGCGATGCCCCTGGCCAGAGAAGGGCGCTTTCTGCGCCACGGCATGCCCCGCTCCAACAACTTGGCCACCGGCAGCAGCACATAGGCAAGCACAGCGCTGATGCCCAAGGTCAGCAGGACCGTACCAAGGAAATAGAGAACCGCCAAAGTTGCCAGCACTACGATAGCAGCGCCTGCCAGGCAAAGACGTTTACGCTTCATAGTTGGGTCCATGAGCACCCCGAATTGACTGATTAAGCCAAATGCCGGTCAGACCGGCAGCGACATTGTTCCACCTTGGTTGGCCGGACGACATTATGTGTGCTGGTAGCTACGCCGTCAACTATAAATCGGCAACCGCACAAACGGGTTTCAGGAGCATGCCAACTGGAGTCGGGGCGGTCTCCCGGGGGTTGCGCCAAGGGGGCTTTTCTTGTAATCTTGGGACTGCCCGTAAGTACGGGCCAAACTAAGAACTGAGGAAGAGCAAGAATGTTTAACCCGCTACACTGGTTAAAGGTCCAAGAGGCGGAGGCCCACTGTGACATCCCCTGCGGTATCTATGATCCCGTTTCCGCAAAGATCGCCGCCCAGACCGTTCAGAAGATGGTGCTGCGGATGCAGGCTCTGGAGGCCGGCGACGACGTGGCGGCCTACGCCAATACTATGTCCCGCTACGTTTCGGTAAAGGAAGAGCACGCCGAGACCTGCAAGCGTGAGCTGCGGATTCTCTGGGCCGACTACGCCTGGCCCAACATGCCGGAAGGCTTTGACCTTCATGGTTCTTTCAATGCAGCGTTGAAGCTGGCGGGCCGTTGCCGCCAGACCGTTGACATGGCCGCTTGTGAAGAACTGGTCGCCGCCGTAGACAGCATCGCCGCGGCTTTCTGGGCCACCAAGGGCGTCGAATACAGCGACCCCCACGCCACCGCCCGCTACGGGGCCTAAACCGCAACTGACAGCTTTCGAATAGGAAAAAAGCTTGAGGCGGGCCGATGGGCCCGCCTCGTTTCTTTCCTTCAATTATTATCCGTTTTACTTACCCTAAACTCCCCAACGCCTCCGCCGCAATAGCCACCGTCCGGTCAATATCCTCCTCGGAATGGGCCAGGGAAACGAAACCGGCCTCGAACTGGGAAGGGGCAAGGTAAACGCCCCGCTCCAGCATAGCGTGGAAGTATCGACCGTAGGCTTCGGTGTTGGACTGCTCGACCTGGGCCAGGACATCCACCGGCCCAGCATTCAGGAAGCCAGTCATCATCGACCCAACTCGGTTCAGGGTAGCCGGTACCTCGGCTTGGGCAAAGGCCTGGGTGATGCCGTCGGCCAAACGCGTCGCCAGGGACTCAAGCTTTTCGTAAGTGCCTGCCTTTTGCAGTTCGGTCAAGGTGGTAAGTCCGGCGGTGACGGCCAGGGGATTGCCCGATAGTGTGCCGGCCTGGTACATGGGCCCCAGGGGCGCCACCATTTCCATTATGTCCCTGCGACCGCCATAGGCCCCTACCGGCAGGCCGCCGCCGATGATCTTGCCGAGGCAGGTAATGTCTGGGGTGATGCCATATAGTGTTTGGGCCCCGCCGTAGGCAATGCGAAAGCCCGTTATGACTTCATCGAAGATGAGCATAGCCCCGTTGTCCGCAGTTACCTGGCGCAGGGACTGCAGGAATCCCTCAGCCGGAGGCACCACGCCCATATTGCCAGCCACCGGCTCTACTATCACACCGGCGATGGCTTCGGGCCAGGCCTGAAAGAACGATTCCACGGAGGCAATGTCGTTGTAGTCGGCAACCAGAGTTTCGGCCCCGTAGGCGTCGGGAACGCCGGCGCTGGTGGGGATGCCGTGGGTCATGGCACCGGAACCAGCCCTGACCAGCAACCCGTCGGCATGCCCGTGGTAGCAGCCGGAAAACTTGATCACCTTGCTGCGGCCGGTGTAGGCCCGGGCCAGGCGGATGGCGCTCATGCAGGCCTCGGTGCCGGAACTTACCAGCCGGACGCTGTCCACCGAGGGAAGGGCTTCGCAAATAGTCCGGGCCAGTTCCACTTCCAGTTCAACAGGAGCGCCGAAACTGGTGCCACCCTCGGCGGCCCGGTGCAGGGCCTCGACTACAGTGGGGTGCGCGTGGCCCAGGACCAGCGGCCCCCAGGAACCCAGGTAATCGATATATTCGTTGCCGTCCACGTCCCAAACGTGGGAACCCTGACCGCGGGCAATGAAGGGCGGAGTACCGGTTACGGCCCTGAAGGAACGCACCGGACTGTTTACGCCGCCGGGAATGTACCGCTGGGCTTGTTCAAATAGTTGCTGGGATCTGGTTTGGTTCATTTAGGCCTCGTTGGTGGAAGGGTCATAGTGGAAGGGTTTTACTGGTTGGCTAAGTGTTAACCATATCGGCTCCCCCGTCAATACGGTCATCTATGCGTACCGGAAGAGCTTCCAGGTCAGGGCAATTTAGTATTTGCTCGATGCATCTCTCGCTGCTACCAACAAAGGTGTCGTAGGCATCGACATCGGTGGCGACGCACCAGGCCCGGTCTTCGGGCCACCAGAGATTTGGGGACAGTCCCCATGGTGGGTACTGGCTTAGCGAGGGAACGATGTCAAGAGAACCGAAATAGAGGAGATATTCCCGATTTTGTCCGGCCAGGCGAGGCACCCCTGCAAGGAGGTCAGGAGCGGGCCGAAGTTTCCCCCACAGGCTGTGCAGCATGTCTTCAATTCTCGATAACAATCCTGGTTCATGTCCAAAATACCTGACAGTCCTACCCGGGAAGTAGCCATTTCCTTCCCAGTAGCCCAGGTAGCAACTGTCCGGGGTTGAGGTGAGGTCGCGGAGCAGAGCACTTAGCGCGGTGCCTTCCGGGAGAGGAATGCTGCCCATATGGGGAGGCTCTCCCCAGTCAAGGTCAATATTGTAGGGAATAGGAACCTTGGCGACATCTTCGATCTGCATGAGGGGATGAGCCGTGGCTCCCGTCCACTCCGCCACAGTTGACCAGCGGACTGGTTGGCCTTCGTCGTTGTCCAGGGCTTCATCGTTGCCCAGATAGAAGGGATGGAAAATGCGGACGTAGGCGGGAAAAGTGTCGGGGAGAAAAGCCCTGAGAGGCACTCCTTCCAAGCCCCAAGGCTGCAACCGTTCTTCGATCCACTGGCCGGCAGTTTGATCCTGAGCCGCAACGATGCCTTCCGGCAGGCGGAAACCCCTGTTGCGTTGGAATATCGTGGGGTCAAAACCAAACCGGAGCACTAACTACTCATCTCCCCTAAGCCAGCGGGCAACCTCTTTGGCGTGGTAGCTGATTATAATGTCGGCGCCGGCCCGGCGGATGGCGGTGAGCAGTTCAAGCGTCACCATTTTTTCGTCGATCCAGCCCTGCCTTGCCGCCCCTTTGACCATGGAGAACTCGCCGCTCACGTTGTAGGCGGCCATGGGATGATCGAACCGGTCTCGTGCCGTCTTGATTACGTCCAGGTAGGCCAGAGCGGGTTTTACCATCACTATGTCGGCGCCCTCGGCGATATCGCTTTCAATTTCCCGCATGGCCATGCGCCGGTTTGCCGGGTCCATCTGGTAGCTGCGCCGGTCGCCGAACTGGGGAGTAGAGTCGGCAGCGACGCGGAAGGGCCCGTAAAAGGCGGAAGCGTACTTGGCGGCGTAACCCATTACCGGCACGGTTTCCTCGCCATTGGCGTCCAGGGTTTCGCGGATGGCGCGTACCTGGCCGTCCATCATTGCTGAGGGAGCCACCATATCGGCGCCGGCCTGGACCTGGGCGAGGGCAGTTCGGGCCAGCAGTTCCAGGGTTTGGTCATTGTCTATTCGCTGGTTCTCTATGACGCCGCAGTGGCCATGGTCGGTGTATTCGCACAGGCATACATCACCAACGACCATCAGGTTCGGGGCAGTCTGCTTGATGACCCGAATGGCTTCCTGGATGATGCCTTCGGGGTCGTAGGCGCCACTGCCCACGGGGTCCTTCTCTTCAGGCAGGCCGAACAGGAGAACAGCGGGAATGCCCAAGTCCACCACCTCGGAAATCTCCTCTTCCAGCATATCCAGGGATAGCTGGAAGTTGCCCGGCATGGGTTCGATAGGCTGCTTTACGCCCTCACCGTGGGTCACAAACAGGGGGTAGATAAAGTTGGACGCGCTAAGCTGGGTCTCCCGAATCAGGGAGCGCACCGGTTCCAGTTCCCTTACCCGCCGCAGCCGCATATCTGGAAAGCTGGTCATTACGCCTTCTCCTTTAACTCATCCGCGAACAGTTGCCAAGGTTCATAGTTAACTGCCAAATCCTGGAAGTGGCGCGCGCTTTCACTGGAAATAGTTGACCAGCGTCTCAACCAGGCCTTCCACCGTATGCTCAGCGGCTTTCAGGTCGACCCTCAGACCCAACCCTTCCGCAGTACCGGCAGTTACCGGGCCGATGCAGGCAATCAAAGAGGATTCCAGCAGCGACTTGTCGCCCTCGAGGATATCGAGCAGGTTGCGGACCGTGGAGGAACTGGTGAATGTTATTACGTCCACTCCCTGGGACAGGAGCTTGCGTGCGTCCTCAGCGGCGTTTGAAGGGGTGATCGTCTGATAGGCTGTTACCCGCTCAACCTTGGCACCCAGATCAGCAAGTCCCCTGGCCAGAACATCTCGCCCGATGTCAGCCCCGGGCAGCAGTACCGGAACGCCGGACCATTCCCTATCGGAAAGCTCTTTAACCACGGCTTCGGAAACCGAGGTCGCTGGTATGAAGTCGGCCTTGATACCCCGCTGGGCCAGAGCCTCGGCGGTGGCTGGGCCGATGGCGCCAATGGTGGAATCAGAAAAGACCCTGGAATCATTACCGTAGGCGTCGACCCGACCGAACACAGCATCAACCGCGTTCGTGCTGGAGAAAATCGCCCAGAACTTGCTGATGGTCCCAAAGGGGGTGTCCAGGGGAAGCAGTCCGTATTGAGCGAGGGTCGCATCCAGTTCAAAGTTGTCTTCCAAAGGCGCAATTTCTATTGACGGTAACTCCAATGTTTCAGCGCCCTGCTCTTCCAGCAAGGTTCTCAGCCGCGAGGCCTGGGTGCGGGAACGGGTAATCAGCACTTTCTTGCCAAAGAGAGGTTGCCGATCGAACCAGCGCAGCTCCTGCCGCAGTCCCGCCACCGGTCCGATGATGGCCACCACCGGCGGGGCCAGTCCTGCCTCCTTGGCCCTGGTCACCACGTCGGACAGGGTGCCGTCCACCGTTTGCTGCTTCTTCCAGGTGCCCCACTGGACCAGGGCTACGGGAGTGTCCGCAGCCATTCCCTCTTGTTGCAACTTTTCCAGGATCGCTTGCAAAGCGGCCCAGCCCATTAGCACCACGAGGGTTCCGCCGGTGCGGGCCAGCACGTCCCAGGGGATGGAGGACTCGGGTTTGGCAGGGTCTTCGCTACCACTGACCACGGTAAAGCAAGTGGCAACGCGACGCTGGGTGACGGGGATTCCGGCGTAGGCGGCAGCGGCAATTGCAGAGGTAATGCCCGGCACAACTTCAAACGGGATGGAATTACGGGCCAGAACCTGAGCTTCCTCGCCGCCCCTGCCGAAGACGAAGGGATCGCCGCCCTTAAGCCGCACAACCGACTTGCCCTGGGAAGCCTGCTCCACCAGAAGGTCGTTAATTTCGTCCTGGGTGAGGGCCTGCCGTCCCCGTTCTTTGCCGACGAATACCAGGTCGGCATCAGCGGAGGCAGACTGGAGCAGTGCAGGGTCCATCAAGCGGTCATAAACCACAACTTCAGCCTGCTGAAGGCAACGCAGACCCTTGACGGTAATGAGGCCAGGGTCGCCGGGGCCTGCGCCAACCAGGAAAACTTTGCCGGGCAATTTAATCACCTGTCCATTCAGTCGCGTCCTCAAGTGTGTCCTTCACTAGAACGCGCCCGCATTCGCATATTTTGACTTCCACACCTTCGGGGAAGATGCGCTTGGGGTCAGTCTCCCAGACCATTTCGCCGTCTCGTGAAATATGGACGCCGCCTTCTTCTTCCAGGGCACTGCGGCGAGCCTTGATGGCGGCCCGGCGTATGGCGGCAGTAGCCCGTTCAACGTCTATACCGGTATAGGCCGTCTCCTTGACTTCTTTCTTCCCTTGACTGGCCATGGATTTACCCCCTGTCTAACGGGACTTGGGAAGGCCCAGCGCTATCATACAGTACCCACGAATCTACCAGTTCCTTGTATATCTGGTGAAAGTTCCTCAACCCTCCATTGAAGCGCCGGCGGACCACTTCATCAGGTACATAGTGTCCACCCTGTCGTACCCTTCGCGCAACACGAGCAATGGCAGATGCTGGCGAAGACAGGCTCAAAAAGTATAGCTCTACTCGATAGCCCCGGCTCTGCCAGCCTGGGATGGCCCGAGCAAAGCCGCGCCCACTAAGGGTAGTCTCAAAGGCAAAGCTTTCTCCACCGTTGACCAACTCCTGAATCCTCTGGAGCATCAGCCGACCGGCCCGGAATGCTTCCGCCTCCGGGTTCGCAGGATTGAGCGCCGACGCAATATTGTCTGCGTTGACGAAGGGAAATCTTGATTGGTCTCCCGAAAGAAACTCTTTGGCGAAGGTAGTCTTACCGGCCCCATTGGGACCGGCAAATATGATTATTTTCCTTTCAGTCAAAGACGTTCAAGGCAATTCGCGATCGCTACTTTCCCGCTTCTTCCAGCAGCCTGCCACCGCCCCGTTCCACGATAGCCAGATTGGCGTCGGCGGCCAGTTGGTGTGGAGAATGGGTAAGGCCTCGCACTTTGGCCTGGAAGGTCTCCGATCCGTCGGTTGTTCCCAGAAAGACGGTCAGGTTCATCAGTTCCCCATCCGACTGGGCATAAGCACCCACCGGAACCTGGCAGCCACCGCCCAAGCGTTCGAGGAAAGCGCGTTCGGCGGTAGCGGCGTACCGGGTGGGAGCGTGGTCGATAGCCCTGAGAATGCCGGCCATGCGGTCGTCGTCGGCCCGGGTCTCAACCGCCATAATGCCCTGTCCCGGCGGGGGCACGAAGCTCTGAGGGGACAGGTACTCAGTTATCCTGTCTGCCAGACCCAGCCGGAGCAAACCGGCGGCGGCGAGTATTGCCCCGTCGCACTCTTCGCCTTCGGACTTGCGGAGGCGCGTTTCCACATTGCCACGAATGGGAACCACTGACACATTGGGACAGAGGCTGAGGAGTTGAGATTGGCGGCGGGGGCTGCTGGTACCAATGCGGGTGTTTTCAGGCAACTGGTCCAGCCCGCAGCCAAAACGATTGACCAGCACGTCGCGAGGATCCTCCCGGGGCAGCAGCGCGATCAGAGCTAGTCCCTCCGGCAGAAGGGTGGGCATATCTTTAAGGCTGTGAACCGCCATATCCAGCCGCCCGTCGAGGAGTTGCTGCTCGATTTCCTTGACGAACACACCCAAGCCCATACCGGCCAGCGGAGCAGTTGCGTTGGCATCACCGTGAGTAGTGACCGTAACGATCTGAAAGTCCAGTTGAGGGTAAAGGGGACGCAGCTGGTTCAGAACCAGGTCGGTCTGGAGTCGGGCTAACGTGCTGGCCCGGGTACCTACGCGGACAACTTTGGTGTCCTGTTCAGGGAAAGAGGACTCGATGCTTTCAGAGTTATCCCCGGCCATGCCGGCCACCGGTCCTACCCAGCCCGGACGTTCCATCCAGGTTGAACATTTCCCGAATCACCTCTTGGCGAGCTGGATCTTTACCCTCCTTGAGGTACATGGTGGGATGGTGCATCAATTTCTTGACCAGAGCGCTGGTCATCGCATCGAGGTGAGCTACGAACGCCTCCGAGTCCACGTCGTCGATCAAATCCAGACCCGCGGCCTGCCGATTTCGCAGTCGGGCCATGGTCTTCTCGACCTCGGCACGCCGGACATTCTCAGCGTATTCCCGGATTGTGGCGATAGCAGATATGGTGTCGAGAGATTCCCACCACTCCATTAGTGTGGCCGTTTCCTCCAACACCAAATCCTCGGCGACGGCAATTTCCGGTTCCATGCCCACGCTGGCCGCGTCTGAAGTTGCGCTCAAGCCGTCGATATCGTACAGACTCACGCCGTCCAGCAAGCCCACTTCCGGGTCTATGTCCCTGGGCACGGCAATGTCGACCATCAGCAGAGGCCGACTGGCCCTCTGCGCCATTATTTCCTGAACCTTGGTCCGTTGCAGCAGATACTCAGGCGAAGACGTTGTGCTGATAACGACATCGGAATTAGAAACAGACTGGGATAGCAGTTCAAAGGGAACTGCCAGGGCGTTCAGTTCCGTGGAAAGCTCCTCAGCCCGTCCGTATGTCCGGTTAGTGATCACGAGGTTGCCAGCGCCAGCGGCTGCCAAGGCCCGGCCGGCCAACTGGCCCGCGTTGCCGGCGCCTATAAGAAGCACCTGCTTTTGCGACAAGTTGCCCAGCAGCCGGTGAACGAGCCGCACTCCTACGTGGCTAACCGAACGGCGCCGGTAGTCCCCGAAGTTGGAGCCCAAATTGGCATCGTGGTGCACCCGCCGGCCTACCCTGAGAGCCTGGTGGAAGAGGCGGGACAGGGGCCCGCGGACGTAACTAATTCCTGCCTTGGGACTGCTGGCCGCGCTGAAGGCTGCCCGCACCTGGCCGAGTATTTCCCATTCCCCGACCACCATGGAGTCCAGCCCGCTGGCCACGCGGAACAGGTGCCTCACGCAGTCCCCTTCCTTGAACTGGTAGAGGTAAGGCTCCAGGTCTGCCTGGGGAACGCCGGAATAGGTGGAAAGAAACTGCCTTAAATGGTTCATGGGGTCTTGAGAAGCAGGCGGTTCGTCAACCAGAGTGTATATTTCCAGTCGGTTGCAGGTGGACACGATCACGCCTGGCGCAACTTGTTGGGCAAGTGATTCAAGGGCGGCCGGCAGTCCTGCGCCGTCAATGGTCAGCCGCTCACGCAGTTCTACCGGAGCGGTCCGGTGATTCACACCAAGAACAAGCAGGGTCACCGTACGGCCTCCCTGTGCCTGGCGCTGCTGTCTCGTGCAGCCTGGCGGACCTGGCAGGTACGGGGCTGACAATGGGCCAAGTCGCCGCACATTTCCGGCGTTCCGGAATCCTGCAACTGGGAAAGCAAGACTTCAAGAGCCTCTTCGCTACGGCCTTCCTGAACCATGTTCAGCAGTTCACGGGTAATGCAGCACTGCCAGCGTTCCGGGTCAATAACCGTACGCTTTTCCTTGATTATGCGGCGGGCCTGGGCCAGCACATCAGCCAAATCGGCCCATTCCAGGGCCTCGGCGTTGGCCAAGGTCTCCCGCAGCTTGCGGGCGAGGGCCGGGCTGGCGCCGCCGGTGGAAATCGCCATGGTGACCGGCTCGCGCTTGACGACGGAGGGGGCAATAAAGCTGCAAAGGTCGGGGTCATCCACCACGTTAAGCAGGACGCCCAGCCCCTCGGCCTCTTCGTAGATTTCCCGGTTAACGTGCCAGACGTTGGTGGCGGCCACGCCTATGAAGGCGCCCTCCAGGTCGCCGGGTTCATAGTTGCGCTGCAGCCAGACGATGTCGCCGCGCTGGGCAGCTTGCCGGATGCCGGGCGTGGCGTCCGGGCTGATAACTGTAATATGGCAACCGGCTTGCAGCAGGCCGCCAATTTTGCCCTGAGCGATGGTTCCGCCGCCAACAATGACGCAGCGTTTTCCCGCCAGGTTGAGATATACGGGGTAGTAGTCGGGCATTTGTTTCCTCTTGGAAGGGTTATCCACGAATGAAAACGAAGTTTCACTAACCGTCTTTCTTAGTCCTGTACGACTTCTTCCAATTCGGGTTCGTTTTCCCAGAACTCCTCGTTGTCCTCCACGAAGTAGCGTACTCGCGTCTTCTTGTACTCCCGGGTGCTGTAAAGGAGCAGGTTGTCGGTAACCTGGGTGGATTCGCTGATTTCCTTTGCGATTTCCTCGCACTCCTCCTGGGTGGTGGCGTGAATCATGGAGAAATGAGAGTAAGGCCAGTCGGGGAAGGTGGGACGCTCGTAGCAGTGGGTAACCGCCGAGTGCTGGGCCATGGTCATTCCCACCTCTTCGGCCCGTTCGGGCGGCACCTGCCAAACCACCATGGCGTTGGCCCGGAAGCCGGAGCGGCGGTGGTGCAGGACGGCGCTGAACCGGCGCATTATCTTGCGCTCCTGGTACTCGTCAGCCAAGGCGAAAAGCCGGGCGTTATCTATACCCAACCGTTCCGACATGTCATCGAAGGGTCGCGGTATCAGGGGCAGGTCCTCCTGCAACTCTCTAATCACAGTCTTGTCATATTCAGAGACGGGCTGGGCCTGGTTCCAGTCCGGCGCCGGGGTACCCTCACCTATATTGTCGGGATTGTAGTTGTGGGCCGCGCTGCGCTGCTGGACCATGTCGAAGTTGACGCCGATCTTGAAGAAGCGGATGGTGGGCATAACCCGGTAATTCAGGGCCCCGGTTTCCTGGGCCATCCAGTCCACCGTGCTTTGCAAGTCGCCATCGGGAGGGACGGCCAGGGTGAACCACAGGTTGTAGTAGGAACCTTCGCGGGCGTAATTGTGGCTGACCCCCGGGTGGCGGTTGATGAACAGGGCGCCGGCGTTCAACTCCTCAGGCTCGTAGGCAATGGCTACCAAGGTAGTCTTGTAGCCCAGGCGGCGGGTATCAAAGATGGCGCTGATCTGGCGCACCACGTTCTGCCGCTTCAGATCCTCCAGCCGGGATATGACCTCGGCCTCCCCGATCTCCAGTTCCTCGGCCAACTCGATGTAAGGCCGATCCACCATGGGGAACTTGCTCTGGATAAGGTTAAGCAGCTTGCGATCAATCAAATCCATAGTCAGTTGATCAGCCTCCCATATTATTGACGGTATTGTTCATGGCGTTACCTTCTGGCAGACGATGGGGAAAGGTCACGCCTTCCATACGCCTCTGGTACGACTCAACAACCCCCACCAGGACCCGGTCGGCCAACTCCAGGATCGGGCCCCATGTCCCGTTACTGGTGGAGTCCAGCACCAGGGTGCGGAAAAAGATAAATGCCTCCACCGTATCCTTGAGCAGCACACCGCGTTCCGACATCTCCGCTCCGTACTCGTGGCCCAACATCAGGGCCTCGGAGAGGATTTCCTGGCGGCGGCCTGAGGCACGACGCTGGGGCAATCCCTGGACCAGCAGGGAAAGCAGACGGCGGCCGAAGAGCCGCATCCGGTCGCGACCCTCTTCTTCAACACTCTGGTACCAGGACTGGCGGGCCACCTCCTCATGATTGAGGCCGCGGCGAATCCGGCGCAGTGCGGCATCCTCCAGCTTGTCAGGGCTTTCAGAGGCCTGGCTGGAGGCAGGCTGCTGGGTCAGGGCCAACACGTCTTCTCGAGAAAAGCGTCGATGGCCCCCCGGCGTGCGGTAAACTCGCATATGGCCGGCATCGGCCCATTGGCGCAGGGTCACCTGGCTGACCTGCAAAAAGTCACAGGCCTCGCGCAGGGAAAGCCATTGAGTCCGGTCAGCAAGCTCGAGATTAGCCATAAAATCTATAAAAAACTATAAAAGTCTTGACGTTTAACTGTCCTTTTTGCCGGAAAGGATACTAGCACAGCAGGGGGGAAACGTCAACGGAATTCGCATTGAACTGCTATGTATTTCTTTAGCGGGGCTGGCAGTGTTAAATGGACAAGGCCCGAAAGGTGTCGGGCTTGACTCGACGACAATCAATTCCTGCTTCCGTATATGTTACCATCTCAAATGAACAGCATGACCTGAAAAGTACAAGTATATCGTAGCTACCTTGACCATTTTCGCAATTACTATGGAAAAGACCAACAACAACGAGAACGAAGCAATTGTCACTCAAGGCCTGGTGCGGGAGTTCGGCCAGGTTAAGGCGGTAGACGGGGTCGATCTGTCGGTCCATCGAGGTGAGATTTACGGCTTCCTGGGGCCCAACGGCGCAGGCAAGACAACCGTAATCCGGATGCTAATCACCCTGCTTTCGCCGACCGCCGGTACCATTAGCGTGGCCGGTTTTGACGCGGTAGCCCAACCGGACCAGGTGCGCCTTCGCATCGGCGCCGCCCTGCAGGAAGCGGCGCTGGACGCCAAGCAAACGGGGCGGGAATTGTTGACCCTTCAAGGCAGGCTGTATGGGCTTCGGGGGCGCGAAATAGCGGCGCGTATGGCCGATCTGACCGACCTCATCGACATCGGCGATGCCATGGGACGCTTGATCGGAACCTACTCCGGCGGAATGAAGCGGCGGCTGGACCTGGCTGCTGCCCTGATTCACCAACCGGAGATCTTGTTTCTGGACGAACCCACCACGGGTTTGGACCCCATTAGCCGCAGCCGCATCTTCGACGAAGTGGGAAAGATCAATACCGAGCTTGGAGTCACTATATTCCTCACAACCCAGTACCTGGAGGAGGCCGACGCCCTGGCTCACCGGGTAGGCGTCATAGACCGGGGACGGTTAGCCGCCCAGGGAACACCCGCGGAACTGAAACGCTCCAGGGGGTCCGACCTAATAATCGTCAAGCTGGAGGCCGAGGCATCCACCCAAGTAACTGCCACCCTGCTTGCCCTACCTTCGGTGGAGGCGGTGGACGCCCACGATTCGGAGTTGACGGTCAGCACCGTTAACGGAGCGGCCCTGATCAGCTCTGTAGCGCTGAAATTGAACGAACTGGGAGTGGGAGTCCGGGAACTGACCCTGCGCACACCAACCCTGGACGACGTATTCCTGCAGGTTACCGGTTACAGACTGAGCCAAGACGAAACCGGACAAGCCTCCGAAGAGGCTGAGGATGAAGCGGGTTAAGTCAGCCAGATAGAGTGCGGCATCAAGTCCGCTTCACAAGACATGCTGCAGACTGCCGGTCCGTTTTCATTACCGCTGCTCTGAGCAGATAGACCGATCGCCGCCGTCAGCACCTAAACCCTGGAAAACCGTTCAGGAACAAACCCTCTCCTCGGCTTCTTTCTCCGAGGGAGAGGGGAAAGGGAGGCAATTCAACAGTCCTTCGTCTGAACGACCGCTGGAAAGTCTTATCGCCTACCTGTAGAACACGATACTTCAGGAGAATCCTATGGCAATAGCAGCGCCGACAGTCCGCAACACCGTCCATGCACGGAAGGCGGGATTCGCAGGTGACATTTACGCCGTGGCGCGGCGGGCCGTCCGCTCCATGTTACGGGACCTGGAAACGGTGATACCTGCCCTGTTCATCCCCGTGTTCATGTTTGCGGTAACCGTGGGCGCCCTGCAGGACTTCGCCGAGAACATTCCCGGGCTGGACTATCGGGCATTTCAGCTCCCGGTTGCAGTGATGTTTGCCGTCACCGGCGTATCCCGGGCCATTACCGTGGTAACTGATATACAGTCGGGGTACTTTGACCGTCTGGTCATCACGCCGGTTAATCGCCTGGCATTGCTGCTGGGACTGATGATTGCGGACTTTGTGCTCATCATAGCCCTGACCATTCCGGTGATAATCATGGGCTTTATCGTTGGCGTTCGCTTCGAGACGGGGACCCTGGGCATCGTGGCCTTCATGCTGATCGCCGGCCTGTGGGGCCTGATATTCAACGGTTTTCCTTACGCCATTGCTTTCAAGACAGGCAATGTGGCGGCAGTCAACATGTCCTTCCTCCTGTTCTTCCCCTTCCTGTTCATGACGACGTTGTTCATACCCCAGGAACAGATGACTCCCTGGCTGTCCACGGCCGCCGACTACAATCCCGTAACCTACATCCTGGCCGCCGAGCGGTCTCTAATCACGGAAGGCTGGCATCTGGCAACCATCAGGGACGGGCTGATTTCGACCATTGGGGTGGGTGTGGTAAGCCTGGGCCTGGCGCTGGCAGCGCTGCGGGGTCGAGCGACGAGAAAATAGGTCAAACCTGGCATGGCTTAAGCAGTCTTAAGAAGTTAAGAACCCCTGACGGCGGGTACACTTTCCTTCCCTTGGAAGCCGGGATACGGAACATCCGGGCCCAGTTGAATTGGGGCATGTACTTTTCTTCTGCATTCCGGACTTGGTCCGGAGTGACGTTGAGCACCTGAGACTGCCCGACACGCTGGAGCCTCAGCTGCCACTCTCCGGATTTGTTCCCGATTACCCTCTATGCTATATTGCAGTCGAGGGCCCATGATAAACCTTTTCAAGAAATTGGAACGCGATAGAAAAGCGTTATTCGTCGCGCTTCGAAGGGAAATAGGCAGCAAGTCGGTTCTAAGCGCCATGGAGCAAGTGCCCCGGGAACAGTTCGTGCCTCCCGACGCACGGGAAATGGCCTATCTGAACATTCCCCTGCCCATTGGTCGGGGCCAGACCGTTTCCCAGCCCTACATTGTGGCGCGGATGACCGAGTTGCTGGAGTTGAGGGGCAACGAAAGGGCCCTCGAGGTGGGTACGGGCAGCGGTTACCAGACGGCGATTCTCTCCTTGCTGCTTCCCCGGGGTCACCTCTATACCGTTGAACGGGACTTGCGGCTATTTGAGGCGACCCGAGCACGTCTGGAGGAACAGGGTTACCACAACGTAACCGCAGAAATGGCAACCAACGCCCTGGGCGCCGCCGACTATGCCCCCTTTGATGCCATCATTGTCACCGCCGCCTGCCCCCGCCTGCCCGATAGCCTGGTGGCACAGCTTGCCGTGGGCGGGCGGTTGGTAGCTCCAGTAGGACCACGGAATGAGCAAGACCTTATTGTAGCGCGCCGCACCGATGAGGGCCTTTCAGTCAGCGTTATGGGCAAGTGCCGGTTTGTGCCGCTGCTGGGGCCGGAGGGGTTCGGGGAGAATTAGCCAACACAGGAAGCACAATAGGCTAGTAACATAGCATGGCATTAGGCCTTACGGCTCCCTTATTACCTTTCAATCCTCGAAAACTGACCAGGATGGGCCAGGATGTAGTTGAGTGCGAATCGACCTTGGCCGGAAACTAACTCTTGATTCAATTACCTGCGACACTGCCTACAGCCGCCCCCGCGACCCTATGGTAACTGCAGTTGGAACTATTGGAACTGGCCGAGTCGGTACTGGGGCAACGTGATACGTCAAAGAAAATATACCAACCTCAGTTCGTTTCAGGGGGCCCGCACATTCGGCATACCCCCAATCACGACGGTGCCTTCGTCGAATTAAGCCTTAATGCCGCAGGATACTGGCCCACGGTACTCTACGAAATGGCTCACGAGACTGTTCATTTGCTGAACCCCACCCTTCTGGCAAATAGCAATTATCTTGAGGAAGGAACAGCAGTCGCATTTTCAATAATGGTTCAGCCATCGTTCAAAGTTCCCACGGTTCAATTTCCAGCTATGCCTTCGTATGTTCTTGCTCTTTCGCTTGTTGAGTCAATTCCAGGACACCCTATAGCGGCAGCCAGGAGCATCCGTGGGCAGATAGGCTCATTGAGTGACGCAACGCCAGACCAACTAATCGCACTTTATCCCAATGTCGACACGACTATTTTGAGGAAGCTGGCAGAGAAATTCGTAAGGGATCCTGGTTCGGTGAATCTTTGATTACCCCTGGATCATCTACGTTCCAGGTTGGTTTGGCGGAAAGCCTAAGGGCGGGTTGTTGACCCGCCCTTGCTCTTGTAACTCTATTGCCCGATTAAGGCTTCGGACTAGGGAAACAGCTTTTCCCCCGTCTCTGCGTCTTCTACCGTTATGGCGCTTACCGGGCAGTTGTCGGCGGCTTCCAGGACCTGGGCCAGGGGGTCTCCCTGAGGGTTGACCGCCTCCGACTGGCGCTCCTCGTTGAGGGCGAAGGTGTGGGTGGCGAAGGACTCGCACATGGCGTTACCCACGCAAACGTCGTGGTCAACGGTTATCTTCAGCTTTCGTTCCTGGGCCATGGTTGTGGTTACCTCCCCTAATTGCAGCCCTTATTCCAGCCTTAGTTCCAGGTGATGGGCAGCGCCTTCAATGACCGGAAGGTGATGCTGGGCTGGTAATCCAACTGGTCCTCGGTCGTGTCCAGGTGAAGGGAATCGAAGCGCTCGGCGAAGGCCTTGAACGCTTCCTGGCCCTCGACCCGCACCAGGGTGGCGCCCAGGCAGTGGTGGATACCGGCGCCGAAGGCTACATGGGCGTTGGGCCAGCGGGTAATGTCAAATGTATCGGGGTCTTCGAACTTGCGCGGGTCTCGGTTGGCCGAGGAGATAAACCAGCGGATGCGGTCCTCTTTCTTGATTACCTTGTCGCGCAGTTCCACATCCTCGGCGGCGATGCGGGTGATGGACTTGACCGAAGAGTCGTGGCGCAGACATTCCTCGTTAGCCTTGACGTACATCCCCTCAATGTCACTGCGCAGCAGATCATACTGGTCGGGGTTGTGGATGAAGGAGAGGATGCCGTTGCAGAGCAGGTTAATGGTGGTTTCGTGGCCGGCCAGCAGCAGCAGAGACGAGTTGGATATGACTTCCTCGCGGCTGAATACGCCTTCCCGTTCACCCTTGGCCAGAACGGAAATAAAGTCGTCCTCGGGGTCGACAATGCGCTTCTCCACCAGAGGCGTAACATACTCGATCATTTCGCGGATGCCCTCGGAGAAGTTCTGCATGCGCCAGGGTTCGCCCCGACCTACGTAGAGGAGCTTTTCGGCCACCTCGCGGATGTAGGGGCGGTCCTGCTTGGGCACACCCATCATCTCGGCGATGATCAGCAAGGGCAACGGTGTGGCGAAGTCGCGCATCACGTCCATGCTGCCCCGCTCTTCCGCCTCGTCCAGCAGGTCCTTAATGACATCCTTCACCATGGGGCGCCACTCCTCCATGGAGCGGGGGGTGAAGTAGCCGTGCACCACCTTGCGCATGTCCAGGTGAGCGGGACGGTCGTGCTGGATGAACTGGCGGGACTGGTATTCCCGCACGAATTCGTAGAGGCCAAGATCAGAGTCATAAATCGTGGGATAGGGCGGGCGGGGGTCGTTCTTGAAGACGGCCGAGGAGAACAACTCGTTGTGGCGGGTTAGCCAGACCAGGTCGTCATGGCGGGTGATGACCCATAGCTGGTACTTTTCATTCCAGTGGACAGGGTCTTCCTCCCGCAGCGTGCCGTAATAGGAGTAGGGGTCGGCGATTACCTCATCGGTAAACATATCGTCGCTGACAGCTGTAACCATTACGTCACCTTCCCTAAAATTTATTGCGGATTTCGGCCCAATTGATCCACAAAATTGAGCCAAAGGAACCGCAGGACTAGCGTTGGTGCCATTCTAGCAATACGCCATACCGGGGTCAAGGTGAAATGGGAAGAGCGGACATCGGACTTCTCTCCCACCCCCAGCCCTTCTTAATTGAGGGAGGGTGAGAATTTTTTTGTTTTCCCTCCATTTCCGCTCATTTTCTTCCATTTGTTATCTGACAGCGGGCGATGGGTTGGTCTTTTTCGGGCCGGTCTTGGGGCTTTTTGGCGGGATTGGGTGTCGGACGGGATTGCCAAATCGTGCTTGTTATGGGACATAGAGCTTTACTGGTGTCTGTTGACTTGGGTCCTGAAAATTGGCCGCTGACGGGGAGTTTAGATTCTTCGACTTCGCTCAGAATGACGGGGGCTTCGCCACGCGTGACGGGGACTTCTCTAAGCCCGAATCCACCGAAGGAGTGGGGAA